GTATCGTCCGCGTATGAAATTATTTGGGCATTTCGAAGTTTTAAGTTACATAATCCGTTTATGTAAGCCAGAAATAATGTTGGACCTAACACACTCCCTTGTGGGACCCCGTATGTGATTTTAGCAATGTCGCTTTTGTAGTCATCAATTTTAACTATTTGTGTTCTGTCAGTGAGGTAGTCTTTAAGTAATTTTAGTGGTGTTCCTCTAACACCAAGTCGCTCTAATTTTTGCACGAGAATGGGAATGGATACAGTTTCGAACGCCTTTTTTAAATCTAAGAAAACACCAACAGTTTTTCTGGCATTGTCTAATTTATGTACAATGAGCGAGCTCACTGTAGTTATTGCATCCTCGGTAGATTTCCTTTGTCTAAAGCCAAATTGTTTTGAAGAAAGCAGATCGTATTTGTCGAAATATTTAATTAGTTGTTTATTTATTAATTTCTCAACAATCTTTGAAAGGGCTGGTAGAACAGATATGGGTCTATAGTTTTCAACATGTCGTCTATCTCCACTTTTGTATACTGGTGTAATTACTGCTTGCTTTAGTGAGTGTGGGAATGTGCCATTATTAAAACATAGGTTAATAAAGTGTGTGATAATAGGAATGATCTCGTTTTTTGCATATTTGAGGAAGGTAACTGGTATATCATCGTGACCTGTGGCGCTGCGAGATTTCAGAGACATGAGTACAGCATGGACTTCTTCAGGTGTGGTGTCCAAAAGAACAAAAGAGGATGTTTGATTATAGCGATCTTGTAGTAAACTACATTGTATTTGTGTCTGGGGGCTTATTAATTTGTTCTGCCAGTTTCTTACCAGTATTTGCAAAAGAATTATTGACGAAGTTAATTGATTCCACCGGAGTCGGCTTGATATATAATAGCTTACTGTTATCCGTTTTATTATTAGTTTGATTTGTAACTACTTTTAAGTTTTTCCAAAATAGTCTTGAATTGTTTAAAGAGTTAGCTAATAACTCACTGTCATAAATTCTCTTGACTTTTTTTATAAGATTGTTGCAGAAATTTCTGTACCTTTTGTAGGTGAATTTTAACTCCTCGTTATGAGGTTGGGCCTTGTACCTTTTTTGCATTTTATTTCGGTTACGAATACACCTCAGTATACCTAGGGTTATCCAGGGTTTGATGATGCGCTTAGTTTTAGGTATGTTAATCATTTTAGTATTTTCGTCAAGTGATTGTTTAATTTTGTCAATTAATTGGTCGATTAAGATAGTGGGGTTGTTACAGAAAAGTAGTTGCTGAAGATGTTTTGTAGTTAGGGTTTTTAGTGCTTCTTCAAAGTTAACAACTTTTTTTGTTTTTTTAAATACTTTATTGGGTTTTTGATTAAGAAGCCCCAGTAGGACTGTGCTATGGTCTGTGATAGATGTGTGTAGAACTACTACACATGGTGGTGGATAGCTTTTGTTGACTCGTAGGTTGAAGTGGTCCAGGCAGCTATTCAGTCTAGTGGGGAGTTGATGTCCAGGAATAAGGCCGTTAGAAGCTAGCATATCCAGATAGTTTGCCCTGTTATTATAATCTTGAGTTTGTGTTGATAGTTCTGGGATAATATTTATGTTAATATCACCACAAACTACGAGATCTTTTTGTTTATTTAGACTATTAAGGTGTGCATCTAAGGATTCAATAAATCTGTTTGCGTTGTGATTAGCTGGCGACCGATATATACCGAGTATTGTTAGATTATCAGTTTCAATTTGTAAGCAGGATGAGTCATTAAGTTTTATTTCTATGCAGTTAATCGATAAAGAGGTCTTCACATAGGCTATTACGCCATCATTTTGATTGAGATGTTGAGATGTAGAGACATAGTTGTATCCATCCAAGTTGGGAATAGGTTTGTTACTGTGAAGCCAACATTCCGTGAGTATTATGATATCCACTTCAAACTTAAGACTTGATAAGAAAACTTGTAGCTCATTGAAATTGCAGTGAACACTCCTTATATTCTGAGTAATAATAGTAAGGTCATCTTTTTTAATTTTTATATAATTTTCTAAGTCTTCTAATTCATATTGAAAGGGATTTGTTAAGTTTATACCGTCTATCTCATTTAAATTAGGTGTAGAAGTATGAAACCGGAATTTCCCTACAGATGGTACTAGTCATCAGTTTAAGGACCGTAAGACCGCTTCTGCAGCACCATCATCTCCTTCTAACACCTGACGAAGATTTTAAATACACAACAACCCCAGTTTCATACACCGTTATATTTTCTATAACCTAAAACATGTCGATTTTTGTGCCTACGAACTACGATTTGCGGACAGCATTGGTCTTTTGTTATTATTTAAAGAAAACTGCCGCAGAGTCGCATCGAATGCTTGTGGAAGCTTACGATGAACATGCTCTTAGTATAACGCAGTGTTTTGAGTGGTTTAAAAAAATCAAAAGTGGTGATTTTGACCTGAGAAACGAAAACCGTGGAAAACCAACGAAAAATTTCGCAGACAACAAATTACAAGCTTTATTGAATGAATATGATACTCAAACTCAACAAGAACTCGCGGATCAATTGAATGTGACGCAGAAAGCCGTATTCATTCATTTGAAAGCTATGGAAAAGATTCAGAAAGTGAAAAAATGGGTTCCCCATGAACTGAATGAAAAGCAGCAAGAAAATTGAAAAACCACTTGTGAAATTCTGCTCGACAGGTACAAAAGAAAGTCATTTCTCCATCGAATCGTAACAGATGATGAAAAATGGATATATTTCGAGAATCCTAAGCGTCATAAATCTTGGTGAATTCAGGCGAACCATCGACATCCACTGCAAGACCAACTCGCTTTGGAAAGAAGACGATGCTCTGTGTTTGGTGGGATCAGAAGGGCATAATCTATCATGAGCTGTTAAATCCTAGGAAAACCGTTAACACTGATCGCTACCAAAAGCAAATGAGCGATTTAAATCGAGCATTACGTGAATAACGACCGGAATATGAAAGAAGACAACACAACGTCATTTTGCTTCATGATAATGCCCCATCACACACAGCAAAATGGATCAGGCAAACGATCGAGGCGTTCAGTTGGGAAATTCTAGCGCATGCGGCTAATTCTCCAGGCTTGGCTCCGTCCGATTATGATCTATTCGTATCACTGGAACACACTCTCGCTGAACGACGTTTCAATTCGTATGAAAATGTGCGAAAACGGCTCCATAACTGATTCGCTTCAAAAGAAGAACTGTTTTTTTAGCGTGGCATTCATGAATTGCCGGAGAGGTGGGAAAAATGTATACATAGCAATGGAAATTATTTTGAATAAAATATTTCTTATCATTTTCAAACAACAGACTTGTAATTTGTACGAAAAAATTCCGGTTTCATACTTCTAGACATAGTATATATATCTCAATTACTATTTTTAACCCCCGACGCAGGGGGGTAAGGGGGGGTGTTATAATTTTGAAGTCGATGTCTGTCTGTGGCATCGTAGCTCTCAGACGGATGGACCGATTTCGATGTGGTTTTTTTCATTTGAAAGCCAGTTTCCTTGCGGTGGTTCTTAGCTATGTTTGGTTAATATCGGTCCAGCAGTGTAAGAGTCAGCTCTGTTCCAAGATGATGTTAGGCATTTTGGCGTATGATTACTCGATTAAGTGCTTCACGCGTGCCAGTGTAATCGTTAAATGACAATTAATTTGCGTTGGGGATTTTTTAAGTTTTTAATTTATAATTATATTAAGCCTCAATCTTCAGCATGAGTTTTGTGTTTCATCATCGAGCCTATCTTCGATTTGAATATTAAAGTTATCATCGTTATTCAATTCCTTTGTAAAAACAAATTAATTAAGATGCGAATAGCTACAAATTTATGAAATTAATTTGAAATGAAATTAATATACCAAAATGTTTCAGAAAGCTTAAATATATACCCTGGAATCTAGCGCCTAGGTACTAGTTCTAAGTCATCAAAGTTATTTCGTTTAATGTATAATCTATAATGCATATTTATTACCTTTTTATTGCGAGTCATTTTTTATACAATTTCCATAATATGTAGGTACTTGGCTTTGACTCTGACTCAATCTATAGGTACTATCTATACTAATATTAAAAATAGGTAATGTTTGTGAGTTTGTGACGTTGTAGGGGTTAATCTCAGGATCTACTGAACCGATTTAGACAAAATTTGGTAAGAAGATAGTTTGAGGCCCTGGAAAGGACATACTTTTTATCCCAAAAATCATCCCTTAAGGGGGTGAAAATTGGGATGAAAGTTTGTGTGTGTAAACAACCAATCGCTAGTGATAAATAATAATAATTAAACATGTATAGGGGGGTATCATAGAAGTTTATTTAATTTTATCTATGGTATACATTAAAATCTATACTTATTCTATTCTTATAACGGATATTATTCTATTCTTATAACCTTAGCGCCGTCCCTGGGCATAGAAATAAATGCCGCTCTATTATCGAAGTTTTGAATAAAATTTTGAAAGTTTTTTTTTTTTGAATTATTTTTTTTTTTTAAAAGAAATAACTTATAAATGATATCAATTTTCCGAAAAATGTACCTAATAAATGTAAATAATGTACTAGTTAATCTTTTATTTTTTTATTTTTTGTAAAATAAAAAACATTTTCGATAACGCGAAGAAAATTTTTTTCCACCCTCTGAATTTTGCCGCCCTGGGCACTAGCCCCGAGTGCCCCTAGTGTAAATCCAGCGTGAATTTATATATCTAAAAGATTTTTCTGAAATTGTAAGATTCTTTTATCAAACACAATCAACGACGCAATTCAAACCTTTTTTCTATTTCTGCTATTAATATTACATTATCATATATACCTATTACATAGACGAGACAAGTTCAGATAACTAAGTATATAAATTTGACTAGATATAAATATATTGAGTTAATAGTAATGAATCCATCTCAAATTTCTTCTTCACATGATTGTTTGTAATATGTTAAGTTCATTATTTGTGCTCTCTCTCCTGAAATGAACTGTAGCGATTAATGTATGCGATAACCTGAAATTCAGTAATTTAATTTATTTAAAAAAAATTTTACTAACATTTTTTTTACATTAATTTTGCTGGTATAAAGTCATGTCAAACAGAAGGAACCTATTATAACCTATATAATTTTTTGGCATTATAGGTACATATATAAATTAAACATTTATAAATAATAATCAAAAAAGCACTTGATGGCCGTTATCTTAAAACCGTTTCAATAGATATAATGTAAACAGAGTTTTTTTTGTTAATAGAGCTTTATATATGTCCTAGGTATATTGTTAAAGCCGTGATATTACAATTTTACTAGGGATATTATAATTAAACGGTAGATTGTCAATCGACGTCAGTTCTTACAATTTAACGGCCTGGATTTATTGTCATTGTAATGTCACGGGGACACTATAGTAGTACGGGAGCCCAAGAGGGGATTTTTGGATTTACTCAACATAAGGAGGGCTATCTTGCACTCTGTTGAGTACCTCCACCAAATCTAAGTCCTCTATATAAAGCCGGTATGGTGGGCTAATTACATCCTGAAAAGTGAGCAATTCAATAATCTGCCGATTTCTACAAGCCGAAGAGGCAAAAATCGTACATAAAACTTATAGACGATTTTTGCATCTTCGACTCAACACCAATCAAAACGGACCTCGGCTTCTTAACACACCCTGGTATTGCTTCTATTGACAATTAACTAAGGTTACTTATTACAATGTCACTGACTCTGCTTTGGGATATTATAATAAACTTAAAAATGTCCCGTGATATTGCAAGAAGAGGAGACGATTGACAATACTCCGGGAAATATGTTTTCAGTAGTGAAATTATAATTTAACGGATCTTACAATTTCCCTTGCGACATAAACATTCATTAAATTATGTATTTAGTTATACCTACCCATCATAGAAGCAATATCTTCAGGTTGATCATTATATAGCTCAACCATTAGTTTATCAATGTTGTTTTCTACTATTCTCATGTGTACGCTTTCGGTGCCAAGGTAATATTTGAAGACATTAATCTCCTCCTGTGGCCATTCCACTTCACCATCACAGGGATCGTATCGTGCAAGTCCACAATGAGAAATAAGTTGCGGTATGTCTAAATATTTTTGTTCACAGTTCCAAATATATTTAAGCGGTACGGATTTTTCGAAAAATCCGTAATCCACAGTAAAAATGTCACATTTCAAACCATCCGTGTCGTCAATAAAAAGTATTTTTCCTCTTACGTATTTCTCAGCCGAATCTGATAGTTGCAAATTGAATACTACCATATCTTGGATATTCAAAGTGGTTGGTTTTTCTTGTGGTTTTATAGTTTCAAATTTTTCAATAAATTCAGTGTATTTAACGGGCCTAATGTAGAAATTACGCAGGTCCACTATGCATGTTATATCGACTTCCTCCCCTCTTTCCATCTCAAATTGCGACAATCTCACGTTTTTAAGTAACTCTTCTATATTTTCCATATTGTCTGCAACAAAATAAATTATACCTTCAATTATAATCTCTTAATGACCAACAGTCATGCAAAGAGGTTCTCCTAAATTCTTACTAGATAATATTTACTACTGTGAACCGATTCACGTAAGCTTTCGCCTTATGTTGAAAATATTTTACGTATGATTAAAAACCAAACTCGAAAAGGCAAAATACTCGTCTAAAATATTTTATGGAAATCAATTATTTTTTTCTGTTTTTATGCTAAGAAAAATGGCTTTTTGTCTGAGAAATAATTTTTCTTATACTTCCAGCCCCTCTCTCTTTTTGCTGTGGGCGTGACACCGGTCTAAAAATCTGTACCTACTTCCCACTAGATTTTTTTTATAACTCAACATCACAGTGCGATAATGAATTAGGTACGTGGGATATTTAATTTACGATGCACTTATCTTATCTATTTTTATTGTTAAAACCTTTCATTTAATAAAATTCGACAAAGTATATTACATTGACCTTCCAACAATTTAAAGGTAAAATTAAAAATATACCTACTGAGTAAAGCATATACTATAAATATACACTATTCAAGAGTTTCTAGTTAATACAAATGTGTGGAATTAAGTTAGATTGAACCACATGCAGGCTCGCCTTAATCTATACTAATACTAATATACTAATACTAATAATATAATATTATAAAGAGGTAAAGTTTGTGATCTTGTGAGTTTGTGACGTTGTAGGGGGTAATCTCTGGATCTACTGAACCGATTTTCAAAATTCTTTTACCAATAGAAAGCCACGTTCTTTCTGAGTGTCATAGGCTATATATTAACCCGAAAAATGATAAGGCTTTTTCGTGGTAGTTGAATTTGCAAAGTCGGAGAAAAAACGGTCGAACGAAAACGTTTCTACGAACGCTGCCTTAACAATTAGAGATATATGATTATGTTCTAGAGAAAAGTTGTAGAGCTTAATAATGCCTACAAAAAGTCACCGACAGCATATGTTTAACTTTTATATTTAAGTCACAAAAAGTAGTTTTAAATATTAAAAAAATAATTTAAATTGGTAGGTCATGTTTATTGGTCATATTATTAACAATTATGAATTCTTATCGAAATAAGTAAATGAATCGTCTAAAATGTTTAAAACAAAAGACTTTTCCCTTTTACTGCATATAATTTGGACAAATTATATTCAGTAAAAGGGAAAAGTCGCAATTCGTAGGTATGGACGAACCCGAGCGTGCTGTTTGTCTGTTTTTCTGTTTGTAGTTTGGTAGTACATTATATGCCCGGTCAACATCTAAGATACTTTTCATTCCAGAAAATTAAAAGAGTTTCCGTGGGATAGTTAAAAAATGCTGATACCTTATATTGCCGGTCAAACAACAGGTTACTTTTCATCCCGGAAAAATTAACGGTTCCCGTGGGATAGATCTGTTTGTGCCTGCCCGAGCGAAGCAAGAGTGAGCCGCTAGTCTTATATTAAAGAAAATGTAACTCAATATTAATAAAAGAGGAACTTAGTTTCTTGCTGGCTCTTCTCATCAGAACTGATTTCGAGCCGGTGGTAGCTTCCTTACAAACTATTTTTTTAAATTGTCTAAATGTATTATTCATCAAGAATAATATGTGCTTTGCCTTTATGTCACAGTCCACAGATGTACATAGTAATCTATACATATAATAAACTTGTGACTAAACCGAATCTGTACATTAAATATTTTTTGGAAAATCTTAATGAAATAGACATTATTATCGATACAGAGCCAGAATCTATAGTTTTTAAAATGTTGTCTGCCTGTGTCTGTGACCGCTTCACGGAAAAACCACTGGAAGGATTTTGATGAAATTTGGTAGAATGATAGCTGGTTATCCGGGTCAACATATAAGATCAAGACACGCGGTAGCGTGTCCAGCCAAGTTCAAGCCAAAGAAACTGGCGACACTGCACCGTGTATATATTTACACGAACCATCTGAAGCCACTTTTCAACTCGCAATAACTCACAATCTATTTAACATAAACTCATGAAATTTGGTTGGTTTACTAAATCCCCTTAGATTAACTAGAATCCCCAATGTCATAACTCATAAATACAGCTAAAAAGGTTATTGATATATTAACGTCTAAAAATCGGCATTTTTATCACTGAATGACTGACATATAATAGTAAAACGTAACCCACTTTTAGATGACCTAGAAAGTTGAAATTTGGTGTCCAGATGGGTAATCATGTGCATACAAAAGGAAAAATCCGAAAACAGAAAATTAATTTTTATTAAACCTTGCGCCTTCCAAAACATAATAGAAATACTTAACACCTAGTGCCTTTTGAAATATAATAGCAATATCAATCATAGTAATAGCAAAAACTTTTTCTTTTTCAGGAGAAAAGGTTCCATGATGATTAAATAATATTTTCCTATTCCGCCTTATCCTTATCGATCTTTATCGACTAACAAATAGTCGCAAAATTATAAAAAAAAAGATTGAACTTACATGTCACTTTGGAATTATTAATACGAAAAGTCTTGTTATCCCATCAAAAACATAAATGTGAAAATGGGAGCCAAGTTCAATATTAAGAATATGCGTGGTTGTCAACTTCACCGACAAAAGAACTGAGATCTAAATGGGTGCCAAGTTCTGCAGAAAATCCTGATTTTTTTTCATAAGAACATGCAACATTCTAAAAATAAATTTAAAACACAATTTCTGTTTCTTTTTCTGCTACAAGTGTTTGCTATTTAAAACTAGAACTTTTTAAATTTGAACAGTCGAATTATTTACACAGAGTAGAGAACTTAGGATAAATTGAAGTTCAAGATTTGACTTGGCTAGTTTTTACATACAAGTTATCTTATATTCGGCTAATCACTTATATCTTCCTTATGCTATACGCAAGTCACTGTTTTTATATTGTAAGGTCAACATGTCTCATGCTCGATTTCACCAACAACCCATAAGCTACCACCTACGTATGGGATCCCTAGCTTAAAAGTCCCCTAAACTAGCCCTTAAATTAAATTTCGTTTCACGATCTTCTTTAAGCCCATATTTCGAGCACCTAAATTTAGGGGGCCTTTTAATATTTAGGTGACCCCTAACTGTCGATGAAACAAAACTGTCCCCTAACCATGCTTAGGGGATCCCTTAAAATTAGGTGACGTTGGTAAAATCGGGCATCACTCTTCTAAAAACTTGCTTTACTGGTCTTTCTTTTACATCGAAAGGGCTTGGCGGATTGGCGTGTTTTTTTTGTGTGGAGATAGTTGGAGGTCTGGAGAGTGACATAAGCTACTTTTTGCCGCGGGAGATTTTCTTTTTTCCATGGGAAAATACGTTATAATACAATCCAAAAAAATATTTATGATTATAATTACTTGAAACTTGGTATAAATGCTCTTCAATACAATTAATTAAATACGTGTTTTAGCATTTTTCAAAATTCATCCCATAAGAGGGTAAAATAGCGGATGAAATTTTTTGTAGTTTTAGCGCGTGCGAAGATGCAGGTTCTGCTACCGCTTTAGGTACCGAGACGTAGTATTAATCTCAATAGACTTTTGAAATATTCCTTTAGTACTTACTGAATGGATATCTATATATATAAAAGAAAGTCGTGTTAGTTACTTCGCTTATAACTCAAGAACGGCTGAACCGATTTATTTCATAAAACACACTCAAGAAGTGTATTAGTTATACGTGGTTCTAGAGTTAAAGTTTGAAGGGGGTTAGATCGAGATGACCTTTTTAACGTGATTGCATGATCCACATGATGCCATTATGCACTAGACACAAAAAATTTAGCACATAACATATTCACTCTCACTCACCAATTAATACCTTTTAAAACTAGTTTAATAAATTATTAGCATTTATATTTCAATATACGAAATAATATTTTTATTTGTTTTTAAAATATTTGGGAAACATACAGCACAATAATAATTAGAATTAATGAGATATAAATAATACATAAACCAGCGAAATTTCCACTTAGAACTTAAAATATTACACCTACATACATAAAAAGTATTACCTATAATAATAATTTGTATTCTTCAATCTTCACTAATCAGGAACTTCCCTGTTGCACCTAATGTAGAGTTGTAGACAATAAATAAAAATATGCGAACAAATCAATACCCTTTAATGGGTTACGGACCGATGTTGCTAGATTTTTCATGGTCCAAGTATCTCACTTTTATCTATCTCATTATAATCTGCAACTATTATTTAATTAATTTTGAGGAAACAATATTTTTTTTCGAGAATTATATTAATAGAAATATTTTATCTGGAAAAAGGGAAATCATTATGTTGAAGCACGGATACATATAATATGCGTCTGTCTCCCTCACTACTTGATACTTCTGAGTTCTGAGTTTTCGCGCATGCCCGAGATTTGGGCAGTTCAAAATCTTTTAGTATCTAGTAGTAGGGGAGCCCAAGAGGGGATTTTCTGTAGTTACTCGAGCGCGGCAGATTAACATAAAAGAGCTTACCTTGCACTCTATTGAGTACTTTCACCACAATATAAGTCTTCTATATAAAGGGGCGCGTCTAGGGAAGCCGATTAAAATATTTAAAAAATGTTTTGATAAGGTAAAAATACTTGAAACCGTCAGATTAAGGTGTGGTAGGCTAGTCACATCCTGAAAAGTGTCCAATTCAATAATCTGCCGATTTGCACAAGCCGAAGAGGCAAAAATCGACTATAAAGTTTATGATGATTTTTGCCTCTTAGGCTTGTGCAAATCGGCAGATTATTGAATTGGACACTTTTCAGGATGTGACTAGCCTACCACACCTTAATCTGACGGTTTCAAGTATTCTTACCTTATCAAAACATTTTTTAAATATTTTAATCGGCTTCCCTAGACGCGCCCCTTTATATAGAAGACTTATATTGTGGTGAAAGTACTCAATAGAGTGAAAGGTAACCTCTTTTATGTTAATCTGCCGCGCTCGAGTAACTACAGAAAATCCCCTCTTGGGCTCCCCTACTATAGTTACCATGGATGACAAATAAAAGTTGGTATGTAGGTATCTACCTTGCAAAGAAAATCTACCAGCTGGCAACTTTTCAATTTTTTAAAATATGTTAGTTCTATGTCCGCAAAAATGTTATTATGCCTTCAATTTATTAAAAATGTATGCTTTCAACGAATAAAATAGTAAAAATTTCATATTATTTTTATATTATTATATTTTAACTTTAAAAACATTCAAAACCTTGAAGTAAGTATCCCATGAAATAATACTTATTTCGCACCTCTAAACTACTTCTATTATAAACTAGCATAGCACGTGGCTCCGTCCGCGTTCAGATGACCAAAAACCAAATTCTTAGGTTTCACATATTCTTTTCTTAGGTTATACATTGCAGTTTTTGTATTTTTTCTCAGAAATGAGACATTTTCCCGCGGTAAAAAGTATCCTATATGTTGACCTGGATAAGCAGCTATCAACATACCAAATTTCATTAAAATCCCTCCAGTGGTTTTTCTGTGATCCGGTAACAGACAGACCAACGACCACTAAGCCCGAGGCTGAGTGGTCGTTGAGACAGATAGACAAAATTTCTAAAAACTATAGATTCGGCCTATGTATCGATAATAATGTTTATTTCAATAAGATTTTCCAAAAAATATTTAATGTACAGATTCGGCTTAGTTACAATTTAATTACCTATATTTATAGAAAAATAAAAAAAATTGCTCTCAAAGTTATTGTATTGAAGATTTTACACTAGTATTTGATACTGATAAAAATTTATCATAGAATCTCAAGTGAATTACAGGCAGTGGTAGCCCAGTGGTAACGCGTTCGCTTGGGAAACCGAGTGAAGCGGGTTCAAATCCCGGGTCTCGCACCTCTGATATTTTCATGTGCGAATCATTGCTAACATGATTACCACTTGCCTTACGGTGAAGGAAAACATCGTGAGGAAACCTGCATGTCTGAGAAAACCTTGCAAGTTTTCGAAAGACATTTGAAGTCCGCCAATCCGCACTTGGCCAGCGTGGTGGACTACGGCCTGATCCCCTTCGTATGAAGGGAGGCCCGTGCCCAGCAGTGGGACGTTAAAAGGGCTGAATACATACATACATACAATTAAAATCTATTAAATCAGGCTATACTACTACTACTACTAAACTATTCACGATTCGTTTTTTCAATTTTTATTTTTTTCAGGATTTATTTTGGGAATTGAGTAATGATTCTGCTTTCACATGGGGTTCCTTATAAAAAGAGGTGAAATATTTGCTATGCAATAGAAACATTTATTGTGTGTATCATATTATTATTGTAGTCTATAGAAAACTTAGAAAAATATGGGTAGATCTAGCAACTTTTCAAAGTAGAATTGGTCTACCAACTTCTGAAATCATATCTACCTCTGAGACAAACTTTGAGTTGGTAAGACGGTTTTGTCTCTGAGATAAAAAAACAGAATAGTTATTAATTAAAACTATAATAATATTATCTAATGTTTACATATTGCATCAATAATATAAAAGTCTACTCCTAACTAATCATATTTATATTTAATAAGAAATAAAAATCATGTAATGATATTTAACTCACATTTATTAAGTACTTAATTGAAATGTAAAATTACCTTAAAGAAGTGTAATTCTTATACACTCAAAACATTACAACCACAACTACACACACAACCCTATTTAAAAACTCCAATAGGATCCCATCAAAAGCGACAAAAGCCACATAAAAACCAATATATGTTTATTGGTTTCTATGTGACTTTTGTCACTTTTGATGGGATTCTATTGGAGTTTTTCAACAGGGAACTACCTACAGATTAATGTAAACAGAACCAAGAAATATTTGGCATTATTATTACTTATTATATTGTTTTGTTACAATACCTACATCTAATAAATTAAAGTTTTAATAGTGGTATACTAAATATTTTCATATAGAGGCCCACTTTTTGGGTTTAGTTATTAATCACTCTTACAACTATTATATGCTAGATTGTAGTGCTGATTTTCTTGAGGTTGTTAAGTGCTAACAGGGCATAAGAAGATTCTCTCTTGAATAATTCATTCTACAGTAAATTGATAAGATTATTGTGAACATAACCAAATGTGGTATATCCTGTAAGAGCTAACAAAGTTGCAATATCGTCAGGGCAAGAGTTATAAAGCTCCACAACTAGTTGGCTTACAGTTTTGTCCAATATTTTCATTCTGGCACGTTCATCACCTACATAAAATTTAAAAGCATCAATAGTCGTTTCTTTCCATTCGTTATTGCCAAGTGGTGCACAATTCCCAAGTTTACAATGCATAGCTAATGGAGGCATATAAAGACAATCTTGGTCACATTTCCAAATATTTTCTTTTGGTACTGCCGTCTTCACATATCCATAGTCTAATATAAATATATCATAATAGAAACTATCATGGTTCATGTTTATTCGAAGTATTTTACCCCTTGCAAATTTAGCATCTGCATCTAATATGTTTAAATTAATTATAACTACATCATCAATATTCCATGAAGTAGGTTTACTCAAAGGTTTTTTGGATTCTATTTTTTTAATTAAAGATAATAATTCTGTTAGTCTAACATAAAAATTGTGAGGGTCAACAATGTGTGTTATATGAACCCAGTGCCATGTATTTACTTCAAGTTTAGGATTTTCTAAGCGAAAATTAACAAAATCCATATCTGAAGTAGCGGCCATATCCATGTATACTGTTAACATAAAATTTAAGATTTTAATAATATATATTATACATACTTTAAACTTTTAGGTATGTATCTAGAACTACCTCCAATATTATAAACAACTAGCACTTCCCGCGGCTTCGCCCGCGTTCAGATGACCAAAAACCAAATGCTTAGGTTTTACTTATTAGTATACTCATATATTGCAATTTTTGCATTTTTTCTTAAAAATGAGATATTTTACCCGCGGTAAAAAGTATCCTGGGTATTTCTCCGAGATTGCGTTCTTCGTCGGATTTATCTGGCCATAACGAAGACATGCCAAATATGCATGGCATGTATTTAATCATAAGAGTATGTTGAATAAAGCCAAAAATGAAAATAATTTTTGGCCAGATAAATCAGACGAAGAACGCAATCTCGGAGAAGTACTCATCCTATGTGTTGACCCGGATAACCAGCTACCACCATCCCAAATTTCATAAAAATTCCTCCAGTGGTTTTTCGGGGATGCGGTAACAGACAGACAGATAAAAATTCTAAAAACTATAGATTCGGCCTCTGTATCGATAATGTTTATTTAAATAAGATTTTCCAAAAAATATTTAATTTACAGATTCGGCTTAGTTACAATTTTATTATATGTATAGATGACTATAAATTGAATATAAAATTTAGAATAAACGAAATAAATGATAAAGAAAACAAAATATATAATTATACCTTGCTTGCTATGTCTCACTCAGAATAATGACTTTAAATAAGTTACTTTGTGATAATAGGTATTAACTATTAGGTGGCTTAATTCGTCTATCAACACACAAGTTTGAATATTTAAATTTTATTACTGTACCGTACCCACAACTTCAAATTTCAATCTTTAAATCAATATTCAATACACAAGCTAAGTACATAGAGACGCTACTATTGATCAATACAAATCATTATTCATTTCAATTTTCAATACCTTATCAGACACACACACATTTACAATTTACAGCTGCGGGGCTGCCAGTCCCAGTAAAGGTTGTTTTTTAATGCCTTAAAAATTGTCAGTCACTGAACCCGAAACTAGGACGACGACGGTGATATTTGATGTGATAATTTAAACTTGTATTTAAATATAAAGTATATACATTCCATTCATAAAAATAACCACAACATGCATCATTTATTATCTATGCATTTAGTCTAATATATTAAGTTATATTTCTTATCTGTGTTTGACTTAAGCCTTATAATAACCTGACACCCAATTTCAGGTCTTATTAATTTAACGGATAGTGGCATATCCAATACCTCAATTTCCCCGTTCCCGTACCACATCTAAAGCTTTTTCTATTTTTCAACCAACGACTTTCCTGGGGCTATAAGCGTGTTTAATAATTAGACAATATTATTTTTGATTGCAGTGAAATTTAAACTTCTACAATGGCACAGTAAGTACTTTTTTATTTTACAATAAATCTTTTTTATACAGCTTATATCTACGTTAGAAATGAACTGTTATTTCTTCTGAAATTCTTAACATGACTTTGCACTATTCAGATTCAATTATATACTTTTTTTAAGAACATTAAATTTTATTAACGAAATTATGTTACACATTATATTTTTATTTCACTATTAGAATATATTTTTCGAGCATATTTAATTTAATTAATAATTCACTAAATCATCAAATTTTATTGTATTAAAATGCATTGCCAATAGCTTTAAGTATTCTGCGAAAATTATAAAAGCGAACTTAAACTATTATTTACATAATCTACTGCTATTAACATCATACTAACATCTAATAAATAAAAAAATGCATGAAATCTAGTATTTTAGATATATATTTCAATTTTAAGTAATCGTGAAAAATATTTAAATAAGTAAAAAGGTCTGTTAAGTTTTTACTTTGGAATGATATCAACAAGGTTATTTGAAGGTCACCACTTTAACTTAGGAGCCAAACACTTAAAATTTACTTTTAAAATTTGATTAAAATGGTGATACATTAAATATCTTAGACATGTGTTTGTAAAGATTTTTTTTTCAGACCTAAAGCTGACATTGCTCTTATTGGATTGGCTGTTATGGGACAAAATTTGATCTTAAATATGGATTCAAAAGGATTTGTTGTTTGTGCCTTTAATAGAACAGTGGAGAAGGTATTATTTTAAACATCTTTTGTTATATTTTTGATATAATATTATTTAAAATTAATATTTATATTAATAAATTAATAATGCAGGTAAACCAGTTTTTGGCAAATGAAGCAAAAGGTACAAATATAATTGGGGCAAAATCTTTGGAAGACATGGTTGCAAAATTGAAAAAGCCAAGAAAAGTTATGTTGTTAGTTAAAGGTAAGTAATCATACAAATAACTTTAATTTCTATTTTAGAACAAGTGTGTGGATAGGATTGTTATGTACCTTCTTTTCTATTTACAAAAAACCTATAGTAGTCAAGAAATCAACAATTTCTTTATTAAGTAAGACATTCATAATGTAAAATTAAATAATAATACTATGCCATATTTTTTCTTTTAGAATACCTTTTTTCTACTGTAGTAAATAACAGGTATTTAAACTAATTGTACTAATTTATTTCTAGCTGGATCAGCTGTTGATGAGTTTGTTAACAAATTAATACCTTTTCTTGAAAAGGGTGATATTATTATTGATGGTGGAAACTCTCAATACATGGACACTCAAAGCTGGTGTAAGAAACTGGCCCCAACTGGCATTTATTACATTGGCATGGGAGTAAGTGGTTTACTTTTCAATTACTATTATGTATGTATATAAAAATTATATGACATATATATTACATCATTTCATTCAGTTTCAAGTACTTAGTCAATATAAGAATATCAGTACAGTTTGCTTCATTCACACAATGCATTTAAAGTAATAATATTTTGTCGAATTAAATTTTTTAACATTAAAAGTTCCTGGGTAATGGAATGTTTTATATTATATATAATAAATAATTCAAGTATTTATCTATTATGAGTGTGTGCTTGTGCATTAATACTATTACAATCTAACACTCTTCCATCATTAAATTTATAGTGCATAAAGATAATATTTATTTAATTGAAATGTAACTTTGCTATATTTTTATATTACATAACTACATACTATATATACTTTCACTATACAAAAAGGCAACATTATTTTTTCAACTTTTTTTAAAATTGCAATAATTGTAATATTACAGTGAAAGTTGGAAGGAAATGACTATATTCGTCAAATCTTCAATGTTTTTAAAGATGATTAGTCGAAAAAAATACATTTCATTCAAACCAAAAATTTAAATTATATATTTTAAAAATCAGAGGGCCACCTTATAATGTTGAGTAAAAAAAGTTTTTTTATTTCTAAACTTTTGTTTTTTTTTATAAGCTACAAATTCTACTCACAGGCTAAGAAAAAAAAAAACAATTTTTTTTCAATCTATCATATCTCAATACTATTAAACATGTATTATTCTTTATAATAATATAAATCACTAGCGACTCACCCTTGCTTCGCTTGGGTTCGTCCTTAGGTATGTTTTAATGTTTTTGAACGGAACCCTAATTCTTTTTCTAAAACAAAAGTAGCCTATGTTACTGACTATAACATCAGCTATCTTCCAGTGAAAGTCCCGTCAAAATCAGTCCAGCCGTTTCTGAGTTTATCCAGAACAAACAGACAGACAAAAATAAAAATAAAAAGAGTTTTTCTTATAAGTACTGTATATAAGTTCATGTGCATTTAGTAAAACGCTGTTATTTTAACATTACAAACAGACACTTCTATTTTATTTATCTGTATAGATTATGTAGTAGTAGTATCCTTTATTCATTGTTAGATATTATAATACAGTATATTTATAGGTCAGCGGTGGTGAGGATGGAGCTCGTTATGGACCTTCTCTTATGCCTGGAGGTCATACTGCCGCTTGGCCGCATATTAAACCAATTTTCCAGGTATTTTACTAAAAATATAAAATAATAGGTTTCTTGAACCTGCTTAGTATAACTATTGCTTATAACAAAATAAGGAAGGAAATGGTTTAGCTTTATTTGATTTGCACAGAAAATATTCCTTGTATATTACTGGTGATATTAAGATTGAATTTAAGAATAAAGTTAATTTGTAAAACACAAACTAATGCTGTTGGTATATTTTGTTAAAGACATTCATGTAAACTATCACTTGGTTTATTTGATGTTCTTTTATTTTATATCTATCTATATCTATATAAGATCTAGGTTTATTTTCTCTCTAATAGGCTATCAGTGCCAAAGTGAATAATGAGCCATGCTGTGACTGGGTGGGAGAAGATGGAGCTGGGCATTTTGTAAAGATGGTACACAATGGTATTGAATATGGTGATATGCAGCTTATCTGTGAAGCATACCATCTCATGAGGGATATACTCGGTAAGCTAAGAACCCTTTAAAAAAAAGTTGTCCCCTTTTTAAATCTATTTAATTTATATTATATATAATATTTAATTGTAAGTTATAGATGTGTTCAATAGGATGTTACAGATAGAATATTTTTCAAAAGAAATTTAGTTAACAACTTATTTGACATATAGGAATGGAACAGGATGAAATGGCGCAAGTATTTGATGAATGGAACAAAGGAGAGCTTGATTCATTCCTCATTGAAATCACTCGTGATATTCTGAAGTTCAAAGATACAGATGGTAAGTTCTAAAAATATACAATTTATCATTATTTATATAATTTATGCATATGCCCTCGCTTTGAAACCGAGTGAAGCAAGTTCAAAAACCGGGTCTCGAACCTCTGATATTTTCATGTGCGAATCATTTCTTACATGATTACCACTTATGGTGAAGAAAAAACATCTTGAGGCAACCTGCATGTCTGAGAGAACCTAGCAAGTTTTCGAAAGACATGTGAAGTCCGCCAAACCGCACTTGTCCCCCCCCCCTTCCCCCCTCCGTATTAAAGGGAGGCTCGTGCCCAGCAGTGGGACGTTAAAAAAGGCTGAATACAATACACTACGTAGTTAGTCTTAAATAATGTTTTTACTAAATTTAATTATATAAAAAGATATGTTATTACGTTTTGGTGTGTAGGTAAATATTTGTTACCAAAGATCCGTGATGCAGCTGGTCAGAAAGGTACAGGCAAATGGACTGGCATCAGTGCCTTGGAATATGGAGTACCAGTCACGCTAATTGGTGAAGCCGTATTCGCAAGATGCTTATCAGCTCTTAAGGGTATGGGAATTTATACATATGCTTTTTTATTATTCGATTTTTGTTTATTTTCTCTTTGACTAACTTCAAAGAAGGAGAACTATTTTAGATAGATCATGATGTATTTTTCTGGTTTTGTTACGCGGTTCTAAATCAATTGTGGACAGACGTTAATAATTCTTTTTTTAATAAATAGATTGTACCTAAGTGGTTACCGGACGAAGAAAAAAATCATGCCTAAGTCCCATAAATACTTTATAGTGATTTTGATGTTGCCTGTTTCTTCGAAATAAAATTATTAATGGTGAAATATTGTGTAACTTTAAACAAAACTATGTCATGGATTTTTCCTGTTGTGTGATAGAAGAATAAGCCCATGTAAATTAATCTAGAATTTATTTTTAAGACAGTTCAATCGATTACAATTCACGATAAATATGTTTTGCTATGATTTGATTTACATTATTATTTTCCACTGTGTGTGGGAACTTCTAATAAACGAATTCTAAGAAAATCATTATGTTATCGAAAATCTTTATATAACTACTTCTATTTTTCATTTGTATTTTTTTATTATCACCGGTAATTATAGTAACTGCGTCTTACAAAATTACATTTGATGCTTATTGCCAAAAGAAAACAACTTAATTTTTGCTTTTTTTATGTAAAATCAATGTTTCACAGACTTTTAAGAAAATAATAGGGTAGAATAAAATCCATACATATAATAAAAGTGTAACTGATTGCTCTCTGTACGTGGCACATATCTGAGGATAACTATTATTGGGGGACTTTATAAACGCAATAGAAACCCAAAACAATCATGGTTTTTAGAAGTTTTGTTTGTTTGTCTGTGCGTTTATGCGCGCTAATCTCAGAAACGGCTTAACCGATTTGGGCGCGGTTTTCACTAATGTATTATAGTAAGCTTCACATAACTTTTAGTATTTGTTTTCTTTCAATCGGTCCATAAATAAAACAGGCGCAGATATAAATATGGTCTGTAACTTTTTCCAGAGGAGCGTGTAACAGCTAATAAGAGTCTACCAGGATCCAACCTGAAGTTCACCGGCAATAAGAAGGAATTCTTAGAGCACTTGCGTATGGCTCTCTTTGCAAGCAAAATTATTTCCTACGCTCAAGGTTTTATGTTGCTCAGGGAAGCAGCTAAAGTAAGCAACCTATTATTTAATATTATTGTTGTAATAAAAGCTTATGTTAAAAAAAAACTATATAAAAAATTAAGTTCTCAATATATTTTCGCCTTTTTTCGATTAGTTCATAGTATAACCATACGGTACAATTTTAATTATAAAGTTGTTAAATTGAACATACATGACTGAATTCGTTTTAAAAAAAACATATAATCAAAAGTGTTTGAATATATAAAAAATTTACTTTAATTCAAATTCTTTATTTAGTTCATGTTGCTTGTAACCATGGCTGGTATAGTGCTTTATTTAGGTAAAGCTGATTAATAATAAAGCTAAAAATACAAATAATAAATTCAGTAGTTTAGCATCATATAGCTTTAATGCAATATCATAATACAATATATTTTTTTAATAAAAGGTGAACAAATGGAATTTGAACTATGGAAGCATCGCTCTAATGTGGCGCGGAGGTTGCATCATTAGAAGTGTATTCCTCGGGAATATCAAGGTATTTTTTGTCAACGTTTATTTAAGTAAAAAAGTCAAGTATGTGTGTGGAGTATGTAAAAGAGTACATATATTGTTGTATATATTGTGTGTTAATTAATAATAATGTGAAATGTATCAAAATTACAAGTGCAATTTAAACTGTTATTGTTAAGCTCAGAAACAATGAAATGACCTTTTCCAATGACCTTTATTGACTTATAAATAATAAGGACTACAGTAATATAGGATATTTTATGATGTTTACTTTAAAAAATATATGTTGACAGCTTAAGTCAAGTGCCTACCTCATCCACTCAGATGAAACAACCATAATTAGGAACATCAATTTCTTTGTCTAATATACTAGTGAAGTTTACCCGATCTATTTTGGCCACGGCTAATACATAACTGCACGGGAGATATTTTAGTACAGGCACAGCTCGTGTACGCACAGACACTGCGCGCACTCTCTATTCCTTTTACTCTCAAAGTCCGATGGGACGGTACTTGGGGACGGTAAGGCGCGGGACCGACGGCTTTAGGAACTGCCTCAGCCATTGAAACACCGCCAACTTCCCAAATCCGGGCTGTTGCTGAGAATTTATTTGATAGAAAAACTCAGTAACTAATCTTGGTGTCACCCAGGACTCGAACCCAGGTGTTCCGGATCTGTAACTGTACATGCCGGCCTCTACCACCGATTTAATTAAACATAATTAATACCCATGGGCAGTTGCAGAATTATTATTATTGTAGGCGGTGAATTTACTTCTTCACATTAAACTAATAACTAATTTTTCAATGATTTACGTTATAATTTTGATTCAATGTAAAAAAATTTCACAGATATTTAAATTTAAACAGGGATTTCAATCATATAATTTTAATTAATATTGTAAAGATGTAAAGTTTATGAGTTTCTGACTTTGTAGGGGCTAATCTCTGGATCTACTGAATCGATTTAGATAAAATGTGGTAAGATAGTTTGATACCCTGGGAAGGACATAGCATTTTTATCCCGGAAATCATCCCTTAAGGGATGATGAGGATGACAGTTTGTATGGAGAATCAACCTACATAGTTTTATATAATTTTCTTAATGGCAAGGGTGTGCTAGTGAAACCTCTTGCCCCCTTGTTAATAACATTCCAAACGAACAGGAAGCGTACACAAAGAACGGCCAGCTGTCCAACCTGCTGCTGGACCCGTACTTCAGGGAGCGCATCGGCGCGTGCCAGCCGTCGTTACGGCAGGTGGTGGCGCAGGCGGCGCTGGCCGGCGTGCCCGCGCCCGCTTTCAGCGCGGCGCTCGCCTTCTACGACGGGTACCGCTCGGACATGCTGCCGGCCAACCTGTTGCAAGTCAGTTTTGTTGATTTGTTATAATCATAAAAGTATAAGTTTCTACATCCCTAGGTACGTTTAAACAGTTAGTATGGAATAGAGTTACTATCTATATAAATACATAGGTATGATGACGTGTTGTAGGTTGTATTACAACGTGTTTTCCCGTTGGAATTAGATAATCTTCAGCAGTAAAAACTCCAGCTATCTGACTATCTTCTCAGTCCACACAAAAAAATACGCCAATCCGTCGCTGTGTTTGACGTAAATGAAGAACAAAGGAGGAAAAAGAAATTATATAATATATGATGATACTTTAATTCATATGGATAGCTACTTTACTGTAAAAATCACATGATTCTACTTTCATTTGTCTTCCACAGATGAAAGTAGTAGTATATTATTTGTATAACTTGGAAATTATGTTCGCTTGTATTATTATGGCGATAGTAAATTCAATGCTATATTGTAAAAATGAAATAGAATAAGTAATCCTTATAATATTTTTAATAGGCACAAAGAGACTACTTCGGCGCGCACACATACGAGCTGTTGACAAAGCCCAATGAATTCATCCACACCAACTGGACCGGTCACGGCGGGAACGTGTCCGCCTCCACATACACTAAGTAAACTATCGATCTAGAAATGATATAGTACTATCATGTACGTTCCAATCAAGTTTAATGTTTTTAAATTATTTTTTTATACATGATTACTGCTATACAACTTCTTTGAATTCTCATTCCTCGCAGACAATGTTTTTTGTCTACTTTTTTATTGTTAATCAATGTTAGAATTAGTTCAAATGAACAAGAATAAATTGGTACATATGTAGACGGAGCTCGGGAGCACCCGAGGGACTCGGATCTATTGTATTTAAGTTAATGTTTTTAAATTATATTTTTTATACATATTTTATTTGCTATACATTGTTTTTAAATTTGCATTCCTTACAGAATAAATATTTGTCTACTTTACTATTGTTAATCATTGAATAATAGGGTTGGTTGAACCAACATAGGATATGTGTAGTTTTTTTACAAAGTCCCGAGACTTGGGTACAGAATTTGGTACAGCCTCTGTACGAAATGGTAGAATTGAAATTGTTCTTATTTGTTCTTATTACTACTAGAAAAAAATTGCAGACTAATTTATTTTGTATAATTGGTGGATGGGCTTAGTGGAAAAATAACAATGACTTAGACTCTCTCTTAATTCATTGTTTTATGAATGGGACCAATTTTTATAATCATACAAATCTTAATTAAGAATAAAGTTGCAATTGAGAATAAATGGGTTCTTTCGAATGGTTGTTTTATTGCTCAAATCTATCAAATCTTAAATGTAATCTAAAAGAAAATTTATATATGTCTATCATATATTGGATTTGGTAAAGCGAAAGTTTTCCAATTTTCTTTGTGATAATAGTTACATTATTTTCTAATTTAAGAAAATAAGTAATAAGTAAAAAATAGTCATTGAAAACAATAGATGTATCTTTATTATTATAATTAATAGCAGATCCCGCGGCTTTGCTCGCGCTAAAACTACAAGAAATCTCTAAAAAGGTAGTTTCATACAAACTTTTATCCCCTATTTTACCTCTTTATAGGATGAATTTCGAAAAATGCTTAAACATTTATTTTTTAATTCTATTAAAGAGCAATAATACCAAGTTTCAAGTAATTCTGATCATAATTTTTTTTGGATAGTATTATAACGTGTATTCCCATGGCAATTAGATAATCTTCCATGGTAAAAAGTAGCCATGTCACTCCAGCTCTATAACTATCTCCACACAAAAAATCACGCCAGTCCGTCAGTCCGTTTCGACGTGAAAGAAGGACAAACAAACACACTTTCACATTTATAATATTAGTATGGATTGTAAAAAATATCCAACTTCAAAAAACTAAAATCTAATATAAAAACGAATCAAAAATCAAATGTATGTACGCGCATAACTTCGGATAGAATACACCAAATTAAAATTTTATTTTTTTGTGTTTGTTATGTTGTCAGGAAGTTTTGTATAGAAGTAAAAAAGTGTACTAAAAAAAGGTTTTTTTATAAATCTCATGTTACGAAGAGTCAGTGAGTGAAAGAAATTGTTTTTATCCCGGAAATCATCCCTTAAGGGGGTGAGAATGGGGACAAAAATTTGTAGGGGAAAGCAAGCTAGGAACGAACCCGAGCAAAGCGAGGGTGCCGCTAGTTTAACATAAAAAAAATCTGAAAATATCATACCGATTTGGCGTGACGTCAAATGAGGCAGAATTTTGCCTTTTTCTCCCGCCAGATGTCGCGATCACTATTGCCCTCATATATCAGTATATTGAAAAGCTCTATAGCGTGGATGTTTCTTTTTTATTTTTGCAGTGCCATGCGCAAAGAAAATGAATATCATTTCTTCCCAAAAGACAAAAACTGAAGGAATTGTGGGCTAATTTTGGTCGTCTTATTACTTAATAATTGTCGTAATTCCAATCTTTGTATTTAGGACTATGTGGACCTCGTTTTAAAGAAAGTGATTTTAAAACGCTTAAATGGTCTACAGGTGAATATTTTTTTTTATTTTTTGTACATTTTTATGTAGTAATTACAGACTTTCATACATAGTTTAATCTCCCATTTCACCCCCTTAAGAGATTGTATTTCAAAAAATGCTAAAACACTTTTTTATTTGAAATTTAATTGTATTGAAGAGTATTAATTCCAAGTTTCAAGTCATGTACGAATTAACCACTTCGTTCATGTTTCAAGTAATTCTGTTCATTAATAATTCTTTGCCCATATAAACTTTATTACCCCCTGTACCTCTTTAAAGAGATGAATTTCGAAAAGATCAAATAAATATATTTCTTATTTTGCATCTTAAAGTTAAACACCACTTTCTGTGTATTTCACATAAAGAATGACAGTGTTTCATACAATCTTAAATTTCTAAGAAATCTATTGTTAACTGTAACGCCGGCGTGTCCGCGGTTGTTGAGGGATTAATCTCCTATTTTACCCACTTAGAGGATGAATTTCGAAAAATACTTTCTTATTGAATGCCTACATCATATAAGGAATACGGCCTCCAAATTTACGTTTCTACGATCAGCGGCTTAGGCTGTGTGTTGATCCATTAGTCAGTCAGGACCATCACAGGATGCACCTTTTCTTGTCAATTTTTCCTACACCGTCTAACTTCCAAATACAAATCATTGCACAGGTAAGATGCGAACACAATAGAAGCAAAAAACCAGGTATACAAGAGATATCTATATATTAAGAGATATCTATATATTAATTTCGGGAAGAAAAACTTTGAACCCCTTTTTAAGCATATTGCATGTACGGACGTGTATGAGCTTTGGCATAGTTAAAGATTTTAAAGAGAAGGACTGCAAAAAGCCAAAATTTATTAACTTTCTTTTACCTGCGAATTTGCGCGCGTATTTTATTTATATATTCTACTTCACTGCTAAAAGATGATGTTAGATAACCTTATCAATATTAAACGAGTACTAACAGATGAAAAGTTTGTTTGCCTGTACGTGCAAATCTCTGAACCTATGGGCCCGTTTCAGAATTCTTTTTGATTTTATAGACTATCTATATAACTTTGAAAAAAGAGCCTCAATATTGCTGCCATAATAAAGAAGGCCGTAACTAATAATTTGGTCAAAATGACTTAAATGCAGATTCGGAATCAGCAAAAAAATGCTACCTACCTGATAGTCTTACTTATAAAGTTCTAAGTCTTATGAATCCGGAGATACCATACATAACCATTTTCATAGTAACTACGTACAAACTTATGTACTACTAAGTACTAAGACAAAACTTCAAATATCTCGAAATCAACTTTGACGAAGTTGCGGCCTTCATTCATAAGACGGCAGAATATCAACCAACCTTAACGAATTATGGTTGATTTTCAACCACGGTGCGATCACTAGCAAATAATAATTTTATTGCTTAACCTCAGACTGAATGTAAATAGGCAATACGTGTGGCGCCCTCCGTTCAAGAAATCTTTCCCATTAAGATATAACATAGCCAGTGCTGCCCTTAGAGTATACATATGCTAGCTTATGTATACTCTAAGGTGCTGCTAATTTATAGTTAAAAAATAGGACGACTTTTGTTTAACCAAGTACGAAATAAATCGTTATTTTTAGCGATAAATTGGCAACACTGGCTCTTATATATCATAGTTGACGTCAACGGCACGGTCATGTTATACATACACCTTGTTTTCCAATTATAGCACTAAAGCGCATTACGCGGCATAATGCTAACTTCGGATGTTCTAACTACAGCAACGTTTCGCTTAATCGAGCATTTTGAAATGTACTGCTTTGGCGTGATGCGCGCAAGGATACCAACTCAATAACTGTTGAATAACAGAAAATAAGAGAAGTGTTTTTTCTTCAAGGTGGCATTGATCATAATTTTATTTACATTATCGTTACAGTAATATTTGTTTATATTTTATTTATATTATTATATATTAATTAGTTATATACTATTACTAGCATTACCATGATGACATTGATGACCAAAAACCAAATTCTTAGGTTTTACATATTAGTATACTCTTACAATACATTCTTTGTATTTTTTCTCAGAAATGAGATATTTTTCCCGCGGTAAAAAGTATCCTATATGTTGACCCGGATAACCAGCTATCATCATACCAAATTTCATCAAAATCTGTCCAGTGGTTTTCTCGTGATTCGGTAACAGACAGACAGACAGACAAAAATTCTAAAAACTATAGATTCGGACTCCATATCGATAATAATGTCTATTTCAATTAGATTTTGCAAAAAATATTTAATGTATAGATTCGACTTAGTTACAATTTTATTATATGTATAGATAGAGGTAAAGTTTGCGAGTTTGTGACGCTATAGGGGGTAATCTCTGGATCTACTGAATCGCTTTAGATGAGGTAAGAAAATAACTTGAGACCCTGGGAAGAACATAGGATAGTTTTTATCCCGGAAATCATGCCTTAAGGGGGTAAAAATGGGATGAAAATTTGTATTGGGAAGCAAGCTAGGGACGAACCCGAGAGAAGCGAGGGCAAGTTGCTATTTTATCATTTAATTTACAATATCGACGATATGTATTATTATATATTATATACATATTAGTTATATTTTTTCTTTCAACACTGAACCTAGTGCCATCTGCTGGTGCAATTGAAAATTAATACCCGTTCCAAATAACCATTAGTACACTTCGGCATTGCGCCCTAAAGTACGGAATTATGCTCTGTAATTGGAAAACAGGGACAGTATTGTAACTCGGCCCTGTGCTTGAAATAATTACCTACAGCCGCGCGGTACGTAACCACGCGACAGGACTGCCCGCCTACAGTATTTTAATTTCATCTAACTACTTGAGTTTCTTTTTAGCTTTGGACAGCAATACAACTGTTCATCGAAGCTTTTTAGTTTAGTTTTTTAGATTGCAAATATTATATTTTTTATGTAAAAATATTATTAGTAGATTTAATTAAAAAATCTCAAATTTATAAGGGTGGTATGAGACCCTTATGTGATATTAAAAGCTTTATTGCTAAATTTAATAGTATAAAAAATCCGCATTCGGATAAAAAGTTTAATTAAAAATAGTTTTTATTTTAATTTATTTAATTAATTTTTATTATTAAAACATACGATATCTCGATATTTTTTTTTTGACATTAGCGAAGTTACGGGAGAAATAAATTGTTTATTTTTGTATCCAATCATAAAAGTTACTTTAACATATTTATCATATACAATTTTCGTATCCAATTATACGACATACATATATGGCAGCTCCGGACGGTTGTCTACCGAGTGTATACCGAACTCGATGCGCGTAGGTATAACTCGATTTCCGACCGTTTGTATGAAGATGGAATATTGTACGAGTCGAGTATGTAACATTACCGTGTCAGAGGTGAGCCAATGTTGCATGCGTACAACAATAGCAAAGTGAAATTATAATAAAGTTTTTTGAAAATTGTAATAATAGCAACCAAAATTAAGCGATAAATAATATTTCATATTCACTTATACAACTTATTAAAATTATAAAATCTGTCTCAAATTAAATATAAAAATGTAAGGTATTTTGGTACCATTTTTTTATTTTTATTACTTATTTAAACTACCTATAGAATACCTTTTGAGATGTCTACAACCTTAGTCTCCTCCATGACCATGATTGCAGTAAAACATTCGAAACGTTGGTAATCAAAATTTATAGGCCCTAGGCTGGCCGTCGAGATGTAGGTGATGGTGGACTGCGAATGCGATCCTGCGATAACCCATTAAGACGGGACATCTGTATTATTCATATCAATCGTATCCTAATCCTCATTTCATGTGCCCGTATTTTTGGAATTTAATCGAACATAATTTCTTATCTTGAAAGTGGTTTCGTCTTATGTGAGCTAATTCTATATTATATTTAATAAAAAAGTTTTAATACCGTATATTCACTATTACGTTTCATCTGAATGTCAAAATTACGAGCGAATGGTTGCTTTGACACTTAAAATTATTTAAGAATATTCAGGAATGTTTAAAATTTGTTATTTTTTACAAAACTTGCCTTCTTTCAGTTTATAGAAATGAGAATGTTTTAATATTGTATAATGTGGGGATTTATGCATTAACCATGATGTATGGATTATTATTGACTACCTTTGTTATTATCTTATGGGCACCTTGCCTGAAAATAGGAATGTGGGCTAAACCAGGGCCAGTGTATGCGAAAGATCGCAAGAACAGAATATTTCGTATAGCTCCCACGGGCGAATGTTGTAGAGGCAATCCTATGTAGTACAGGCAGTGAGGTCTATACTCTATTTTTTAATTGGTAAAATTTTTTTCTTCTAATCACCTAACATGTGTCCTTTAAATGTGTTTCAAGTTTTAAGTTTTGCATGATATCAAATTTACTTAGAATATCTAAATGTTATGTGAAAAAAAAATTATAAATTTAAATTACAATAAAAAAATAAGTTTTTTATAATCGAATGTGCAGACTTAATTAGTCTAGGTTATTTTAATAAAACAATGTATACTGCTTATGTAATATATTTTGTTTCTATTATTTTTTTTATTACTTGCTACGAGTATATCTATTTGGATACTTTTTAAGCTACGATTAATTTGAATTGAAAAAACAGGCATCAATAAAATGTCAAATGTTTCGATACAATAAATTCGTTGTCATACAACAAAACTACAATTACAATAATGCTATTTTATTGGCACATTCGTAACATATATAGGTACTATTATTAAATATAATAACATATTAAATATAACTCTTCTATAGAGTTAGAAATAACATTTAGGAAGTATTAATAACTAGTTATTGATTTAACACAATAGGAAGCAAAGACTTATGGATAGAATTATAATACTGTAATTGTTATTAAAAATAATCCAATACCTAGAAGCTTCATTATGTTAAATACACAATTTTTAAATAGGGTAAGTATATCTAAAAATGTTTTACGGTTAATAAATCGTAGATATTTATAATATACATATATACGAGTAAAAGCGTACATAATTTTTATATATTTTTGTGTGTTCTACACATCGACTACGTCGCTACGTTATACACAGCGTGGAGAATAGTAACTGACAAATATTATTCACATCGTATTCTAGAGTGTAAAGTATATAATATACATATTTACATATGTACGTAATTAAACAGCATTACCATCAAGTGATTTAATAATAATTTAAACATCAATATTTTTATAAAAAATTACGGCTACATAATCTATGTATACATTTATTTTTTTACGTACCTACTTTTAACTTTAAAAAATGTTTCGGATATCTAAGATATCATTATATTAATAATCACAATATAAATAGGTATATCACATCAATATATAACGTTATTCACATAGTATTTTCACTGTGTCTGTACCGCAGTTAAAGAGTTTATTCAATATCATATTGTTCACGGGATGAGGCTAAGAAACTACGTGCACCATTTATAGGTCCAATCCCACCGTAGTTTCTTGCTCATTTCTCAGTCCCTATTGAACCATCGTCTTCGTCAAAAAACTTTTTCGTCTTTGCTGCTCGAGCTTGTGGATTCTTCTCTCTCTTCATAGCTAGGTCCTGGTTCCAGAGCTGTCTGTGGAGATGTAGGACTGGGAACTGCTTGGCATCTTTCATCAGGTTCTTCTTGCGCGTGAACAGAACTAGAGCTAGAACTAAACACTTCATATTTAATATTAATATCGACATCTGTCGCTTTGCTAGTACTCGAGCTAAGATCTTCATGCGTTTGAATTGAACTAGTACTAGAACTGGAGAACCTACACCTATAACTGGGAACCAAAACTGCTTCCCCTTTTTTGTGGGAAGAATTTGCATGCTCTGAGCATAACCACACATTCCAGATAGACTCTTCATCTTGGTCTCTATACTCATCGCATGCCTGCCCACATTCAAGGCAAATATATTTGTTTATAGTATCAATAGTTCCTTTATAATTATCTTCTTTGCAGATGACACTAGAGGCTTCCGTTTTATGACTTAAGTCAGGACTATCTTTAATATTAGAATCTTCTAGTATTTCGGGGCTTTGCATGGATTCGTTGCTATATAAACTGTCATTTTGTTTTTTTACTGAACCCTCTTTACCATGAGGCTCAACGCTTACGCTCCTAGTAGTTGGACTCGAAGTTTCCTTGCGATCAGACGAAGGAGTTTCATCTCTATGACTTAAGCTAAAACTTTCTTCGCGGTGACTGGAATCATAGCTTTCGTCTTTAAAACTGAAACTCAAACTCTTTTCTTTCTGAATAGAATCTGAGCTCTTGCTTTCACGGCGACCGGCAAGATCTTCATCGTCATCTCTTAAGTTAGAATCAGGAGTATCACTCTTCTCTAGCCCGGAACTATCAGGTTGTTGATCAGGAACAGAATACTTTTCTATGCTAGGACCCACTACGGGTTTACTTCTGTCGTCCTTAAGACGCGGACTAGGACTTTTGCTTATACTTTGATCAGGACTTCCTTCTCTATAGCTAGCTTCTTGACTCTCGTCTTTATGACTAGGGCTAGTGCTTTCGTCTCTGAAACTTGCCCCTGGGCTTTCATCTCTGAAACTTGTTCCAGGACTTTCATCTTTGTAACTAGAACAAGAGCTACCTTGTCTCTTAAACGTATCGTTTATGACTTCTCGGCGGCTGGGACTCTCCTCTTTACGAGACGGACTAGCATCAGGTTTTACTTCTTCTTCTGTCTTTTTCCGCCTGCTAACATTTAAACAAATAATGAAAAAAAAATTGTATCTAACTTAACACTATTATTTTTTTCAATTATTTGCTTATTATAAATGACTAAAATTATTGTATGTTACTTTGGTACTTGGTATTTTTTTGACATAGAAGGTACGTTATAAAATCTTTTAAGATATTTTCAATAAGTAAATTTATGAAAAGCTGAAAAGAATAAGCTTGAAAATAAACAGGAATAATAATAAGCACATAAGCACGATCAATAAATAATAAAATAAAAATTAAAGGAAAAATAATAAAATAAAAATTAAAGAAAAAAAGTGATGCACGAAATTCGTTCATATTAGGCATATTTGTACCTCTAGAGCAGGGGTGGCGAACCTTATTGAATCAACGTGCCCTTTTTTTTAAACAAAATTTAATGAGGCCATAGACGTGCTGTCAAATAATTTTGACTTAATGATTATTGGGAAAATAAATAAAAAATACATTTTGCACTGTATACGTGTAAGACAAATGAAATGTAATACACATTAGTGTGATTTCTGTTGTTGCAGTTTACATGACAAATAACTTATATTAGGGTTGTAAGATGTTACTTTTAGCAGAATGCATGCTGAACTAGAGTCATCTGCCATCCCGGGGGAGAAGCCAACTCCTACCGGGCGCGTCCCCAGGTGGCGGATAGGGGCATGCCACCCGCTTAGAGGGGCGGGTGGTAACGGAGAAATCCGGCGCGGACCAAATGGCTTGGATGGGGCCGCTCGTCTAGGCCTCGAGCCGAAGACGTTGCGGCCACCGGTGGTGGGACCGCTTGGTCCCACAACCGGATGATGGGTGCCGGTTGCGGGACTGTGGTCGCAGGCCCGCATTCGGCGGAGGGGTAGGCCGCGGTGGGAGAGGAGTGCCGGTATTTCGGTGCGCCGTTCTCCCTACCTTCCGCGGCCTAGACGGGGCCGCCACCGTTTGATGGCGGACGCGGTGGGGCTGCAGGGGAAGAGGAGTGTCGGTGTTTCGTTGCCGCTCTCCCTATCCTCTGCAGCCGATTGGAGGTGGCCCACTTCGGTGGGTGGTGTTTTGGTTTTATGGGGCTGCTCCAGGTACCTCTCTGACGTAGCAGAGTTGACTGTGGAGCAGCCCCATTGGTTTGATGGTCTGCCTAGTATTTAGGCAGACCTGCCGCCGGGGCGCCGTAGTAGTTATGCGCAAGCGATCCTGCGGCGTCCCACTAAGGCGGGGGGAAGGGATGTCGGGTTTTAGTGGGTAGTACCGGCTCTTCTAGCCGGTGAGCCCCACATCACCACCTGGGGGATCAGGTGGTATGCGTAAATGCATTTCCCGACGATAAAAAAAAAATAAGAGTCATCTGCCATACAGTTTCTAAGAGAGTCTTAAATGTTGTTAATCTCAGAAAATAATGACTCGCAGGTACATACACGTAGATAAATATATGGTTAAAATAGCATGAGCCAGCTTCTTCAAACAGTTAAATATATCTGGAATCGAATTCCACGTTTCCAAAATTTCGTTACTGGAATTTTTACTTAGATTGCCTGTTAATCTGTCAGTTTAAATTAATTCGAACTGTTTCCACAAGGAATTTGACTAATAAATAGTATTCGATTAAATAAGTACTTAGATTAATAAATACCATGGCAACAATTAGTCATAATAGTTTTTATTTAATCCATGCACATTCATCCCACAGTAAAAATATCCATGTTTATAAATAGCGTACGGTACGTTTTAACGGTTAGCGTGTAATAGATATTCATTGTTTTCCCGTAAGAACGAAATAATCTCCCGTTGTTAAAAGTAGCTTATGTCACTCTCCAGCCCGCTATCTTCACACAAAAAATCACGCCAATTCGTCACTCCGTTTTGACGTGAAAGAAGGGCAAATAAACAAACACTCTTTCACATTTATAATGTTAGTATGGATTTCTTATTACTTCAATATGCAAAAGAATCCAAAAAACCCTTCCATCAATCTGATCAATTCTTTAGAATCCCATAACTTGACAACTAAACTTAAAATAAAAAAAATATTATGTGTAGAGAGTACATTTTCATATAGAGATATCAGATATCTCTAGAAGTACAAATATGCCTCACTTTTTTTTCACTGTCCGCTTCACGTGAAATGCTCCATATATAATAAAAATAATAGCAATAAATGATATTGCAACAACAGAATGTGTAAACTAAATTAAAAAAGAGAGTCTGTAGGAGTACAATAGAATATACACAGATTAAGGAAGGAAACAGTTGATAAAAAAACGAGAACACAAGACTACCAACTCTTGCCTGGAAAGCCTGATGAATTTCCAGCTTTTTTTTTGTCATCCATCCTGTTTTGCCTGCCGTACTCCAGGGATGAAGAACGAGCTGATGAAACAAGCCAAAATATTTATATATTTCTGAAAAGGCGACATAAACGTCGCGAAGCGAAACTGTTCAAATGTTGTTTATTTAAGTCAACATTGCTATTGAGACTCCACATACTCTCATTTTTTGTATACCATAAAAATCTCGATTTTAAATAAACTAATTCATCACATTTTATTATTATGCGAAATAATAAACTTAATAAATAACAATAGGTAATTGTAATTATACTATATTTATGTAGGAGTATGATTAGTATATAAGTAGATATATACCCCAATTACATTTATAGTTTACCTGGTGCTAGTTAGTTTTGACTTCTTGTCGCTTTTTTCTGTGCTGGACTTTGCTTTAGGACTAGTTTTCTCGTCCTATACAAAGAATATTTATTAATACTTACTAATAGGAATATTTTTTATAACAGACATTTAATAAATAAATAAATTTGAAATAATACCTTTCCTGAACTTGTTGATATAGCGTCCAATTGCATTTGCGATTGACTAGTAACATGTCCCATTTTAGTGAGTGGAGGATTTTTAGCGGTATATGAAAATGCGAATCCACGCTTGAGGGAGGCCCTACAAAAAAAAAACATTATTGTTCATCTTTCTACACTAAAAAAGGAAAGAAGGATGAACTACAGTAGGTAGATGTCAAACATAATTATATGGATGGTAATATAATCGTTAAAACTGGCACTCCTAGAAGCCACGAAATAAAAGTATTGAATTGAATAATCGTTAAAAAACTGACATATTGTAATAGTACCTGGTAGGACTAGGTGGTGGATAGCTAGACCCTCTGTGGTCTGGTGATAGGTACTGTTGATTTTGACATGCCATTAGCCTATTTCGCTGTAATATTTCTTGATGTGATTGATACATTCTCTCTGATGCCGTTGGTTGTGTTGGACTGTGAACGATTTTTATAGATGCATGAATAAGGGCTGATTGGGTATGGCCACGGTCTAAAACTTAGAATATTGTCATTGACATACGAAAATTCAAGATGCACAGTCAGCGTCTCAAAAAAGAGCGCACAATTCGAAATTGAGCGCAGTTTACAAATAGTATCGAATTGCGAACGCAACAAAGCGGCATCTGATATGTCAAAATGTTAGTTCCAAAAATGTAAAAATATCGAAATCTTAAAAAATATATAGAATATATTCTCTAAAGATAGAGATATAGAATCTTAAAAAAACACATGTAAAAATGTTAATTGATATGTTTTTGTAATACTATTATTATTAAATATGAGGATAGTTTGATTTTTATATAATTTATTTTTTACTTACATTATTTATACTTACATATCGGTCGAGATATTATACGACAAATTTTAATACCCGTTTATTTGCTGCTACCGATTTATTCTCGCATCGTTCGGGTGAGATTATTTAAATTTCTAAAGATTTAGCCAGCTTTAGGCATGTAAATTTCTAAAGATGACTCGGAGTAGTTATTGTGTTTTCCCGTGGAAACGAAAGATTTTCTTGTAGTAAAAGGTTATACTAAATGTTGACTCGAGTAGTAGGTATATTACAATTCAAATAAAATAAAATACTCGTAAATATAAAAACTTTTATTTACCTGACTTCAGAAGCCCATTTCTTTGCGGAATATAAATTTAAAAGCACGGTTGTTTTCTTTATGTTTAGCTTTATGTGATATGCGTTCTTCGATTTTTCTGTTTTATTCTTTAGTTTGACTTAACGACACATTTCGACGCCATTTTTTGAGGAGATATTTGTTAGGAATTGTGCATCTAGAGTTTTATATATCAACTAGAATTGCCCGCGGCTCCGCCCGCGTTCAGGTGACCAAAAACCAAATTCTTAGGTTTTACATATAAGTCTATTCTTACATTGCAGTTTTTGTATTTTTTTTCAGAAATGAGACATTTTTCCCGCAGTAAAAAGTATCCTATATGTTGACCCGCATAACCAGCTATCTCCATACCAAATTTCATCAAAATCCTTCCAGTGGTTTTTCCTGTGATGCGGTAACAGATAGACAGACAGACAGAGAGACAAAAATTCTAAAAATTAGATTCGGTATCTGTATCGATAATAATGTTTATTTCAATAAGATTTTCCAAAAAATATTTAATGTACAGATTCGTCTTAGTTACAATTTTATTCAATGTACCTATACATGGATTAATATTGTATGTTATTTTATAGATAATACGTCCAAATTACTTTACCTAGAAATAGTACGTGGTGTACTTGGTTCAATAGTGAGGTCAGGCAAGCTATAAATGAGTGTCGCTACGTTGTTCTGTGGCTGGACGCGCAAAGTACTATGTGCGCTGGAAGAACGTTCCCTCGAATCCGCATTTTTAATTGGCACTGGATTTAACTTAAAAAACACATATTAATGAAGTTTCAATTCGTAATTGATATGGCACATAGATGTCAACTGGTAGTTATGTAAGTAAAATAATTACCGTCGGCGCCTGTACAGATACTGTCTCAGAGTCGCTAACTGTGATTGATGGAGATCCTGAAAATGAAACTCGTTAACTTAATTGCGAAGTCTCTGCACAGTATACCAACTAGGGAAATAAGAAATGTAAAACTAAATTATTTACCAAGGTATATTTTTTAGGAGTAGATAAGTAATAACATTTTAATGAATGATGGTATACATTTGTGAAAGATAATTTTAATATGCAACCTTCATTTGCATCTGGCACCGGTGGTAAGTGGTGCTCTACAGAAGTACTCGCGCGATGTAAAAGCCTGCTGGGCCCTGCTTGTGGCTCGTCATGTGAGTGTGCACTGAAAGATAAAACGTTTTAGCGGAATAAGTTTAAAGCGCTCTAAGCACCATATTGGCATATCTTTATTTAAAATGCTTAACTTTTTTTACCAAAACAAAAGATAATATTCAAAGTCCTATATTTGTTTATAAATGAATTAATTGAATAATATAATATCTGATTAAATGTTATCTCTAAGTATTTACAGGGAAATATATCACAAAAGTCTATTTCGGTTATTATTGACAGTTTTCTTGGCAGTTTATTTTTGTTAAGATGAGGAAACTTATTTTCTTGAGAAGGAACATTTTATGAAGAAAATAATTTTCCTATTTGTAATTAGAAAAATACGAACTACTTTGTTTAAAATTGTTAAAGATATAAATAATGTAATGAAATCTCACGATGTGCCCTAAAAATGCGAAAAAAATGTTGAGTCTTTGTCATACGTCATACGAGATACTTTCTCTCATGTATGTTTTATTAATTATTATATTAACATTCTCTACAACAATACCATGAATTTGCACTATGTATATATGGTACGTGAATTAATAGTCAAACTTTATGTGGCGGACGTGAGGAGAAAATAATAAAGCTTTAATATTAAGCGTTTATTGAAGCGCGTATTGCACTTGCGAGACCAAGCGAGAGACTGTCGAATCAATACATATTCGATCTATAATCTAATGTAATATCTATACTTATATATTATGCTCGTTACAAATCATATTACCTCATGTTACAATAGGTACAATATTCCCCCCTTTTTAAAAAAAAATAAGTAAAAAATAATATATAAAGTTATTAAGAATATATAAAAATGAATACATTTTAACGCAAAAAAAAAGTAAAATGTATAAAATTATATTCTAAACATAAAATATAGTTTGCAAAAAAAAAATATTAATACCTAAAAATATCATAATTACATGCTATTACAGTTTCCTTACATCTATCACAAATTATTTTTTCGAACATGATTTTTTTTTTTTACCTATTCAGCATAATTATTCACTGTATATCAATTCACTGTATATTCACTGTATATTCACTGTTTCAAAAATATCGTAAAGAGGTCGTCCACATTCGTTGCACAGCCACTCATGTTCCGGCGGAATTTCCCATAGTTCTCCTAAGGTCATGATACTTCTTTCCTTGCAGAATGGATGAGGAATGCATCTGGCAAAGCCGAGATCTAGAAGATTCTTCTGATTCTCTATAGATTTTAAAAATGTGAATGTGTATAGCTTCGCCAAGATGCAGATTCTAAATAAATTGATCTCGGAATCTTACTACTGACTTGCTGATTCGGCCGGATCGCGTTACTTTATTATTTACAAGTGTCTCCTTGTTTGGAATTTCGATACTAGTGCTATCCCGCGTATCAAACTCTTCATTATTATTTAATAAAAATGCTGGCTTTAATCTATCAATAGAAACAGTAGATTCTTTGTCTGCCATTAATATTTTAAATTGTTTTTCTTTACGGTCTAATACTTTGTATGGTCCTGAATATGGTGGATTTAGGGACTTGCATAATTTATCGCACCGTAAAAATACATGAGAGCATTTTTGCAGTTCAGGGTGAACAAATATATTTTTCTGTGATTTCTCTCGTTTGGGTACTGAACAAATATTACTTATATGTTCTCTCAGTTGCTTTAAAAATGTCTCGCTATCGGAATTTAGTGGCGTTGTAGGCTCAAAAAAATCTCCGGGTAGCTTAATTGGACTGCCATAAACCATCTCCGCTGCACTGGTTTGCGTACAATCTTTTAGGCTTGCTCTTAAGCCTAGTAGTACAGTTGGTAACTCCTGAACCCAATTATTGTTTCCTCTAGTCATTAACGATGCCTTAAGAGATCGATGCCAACGTTCGACAGCACCGTTTGCCTGTGGATGGTACGCAGTTGTTCGAGCTTTCATAATACCAAGGCGCTTAGATAATTGATTGATAAGATTCGACTCAAACTGTCTTCCTTGGTCAGTCGTAATTCGTAAAGGACAACCAAAACGTGAAATCCATCCTGAATATATTTTCTCTGCAACAGCCTCAGCTGTTATGTCTCTTAAGGGAAAAGCTTCCGGCCAACCCGTGGCTCGGTCTAACATCGTAATTAAATATCTGTATCCTTTGTAAAGTGGTAATGGACCAACAATATCAACATGTATATGTTCAAAACGATTGCTTGTGGGAAATTTACCAAAAGGTGATATTGTATGCCTATGTATTTTACATTTCTGACAATCTATACATGCTCGAGCCCAGTTAGCAACATCTTTGTTCATAGAAGGCCAAAAGAATTTATCGCATATCATCTTTCTAGTTGATCTTATACTCGGGTGACTCAATCCATGTACGGCGTTGAAAGCCTGCACTCGGAATTCTTTAGTCAAATATGGTCGTGCGAATTGTTTTGAAACTTCACAGTAAATTGATTCTTGACTGTTATGAAGTTGAAACTTTTTAAAACATAAATTTTTAGATTTTAATAAAACTTGTAATTCTTTATCTTTTTCCTGAGCTTCGCTAAGAGCATTGTAGTCGATGTATGATGGCATGTTAATTTCAGAAATTCGTGATAACGTATCAGCAACAATATTTTGAGATCCACTAATGTGTTCAATATTCGAACAAAATTGCATTATATAATCGAAATGTCTTAATCGACGCGGTGTATCGCTGTCTGTATAAGAATTTTTTTTCAAAGCATAAACGAGTGGTTTATGATCTGTGTAGACTGTTAAGGGGCGTCCCTCAATCAAATATCTGAAATGCTTTATAGCCATATAGATAGCAAGTAATTCTCTATCGAAAGCACTATATCGCGTTTGCGCTTCGCTCAGCTTAGTGGAGAAAAATCCTAAAGGCTTCCATGTGTTGCCTTCACGTTGCTGTAATACTGCGCCAATGCAAGTCTTAGACGCATCCGTCATAAGGGCTATATTCGCGTCTGCAGCTGGGTGTGATAGTGTAACGGCGCTGATTAGGCTCTCCTTACACTGTTCAAATGCCGCAATTGACTCATCTGTCCACCTTACTTCTGTCTTGTCATTTTTTCTAGAGTTATGTAAAAATATATTTAATTTTGACTGAATCTCTGCTGCCTGAGGAAGATGTCTTCTGTAAAAATTAATCATACCTAAAAAACGTCTGAGTTCCTCGATTGTTTTAGGCCTAGGAAAATTAATTATAGAGCTAACTCGTTGTTCTAAGGGTTTAATACCATCTTTCGAAACGTGGTATCCCAGAAACTCGATTTCGTTCTGCCCAAAATTGCATTTTGAAGTGTTAATAGTTAAGCCATATTTATTAAATCGCTCAAATACTAGTCTGAGGTGTTCCTTATGTTCGGATTCAGATTTCGACGCTACTATTACATCGTCGATATATACAAAAATAAAATTAAGATTTTGAAGTACGACGTTATTTAAAAATCTCTGAAATGTTTGAGCTGCGTTTCTTAGCCCAAACGTCATCCTTGGGAACTCAAAAAGACCGAATGGCGTAGTGATGGCTGTCTTCTCTATGTCTTCATTATTGATGGGAATGAAATGATAGGCACGTGTTATATCGATCTTCGAAAATATCTTTTTACCCGACAGTAAATATGTAAAATCTTGTAAGCGTGGAATCGGATACCTGTCAGGCTTAGTGATGGCATTTAATTGCCTGTAATCACCACATGGTCTAATACCACCATCCTTTTTCGGGACTACGTGGAGTGGACTTGCCCAACAGCTCTTCGATGGTCTACATATGCCTACGTCTTGCATGATTTCAAATTCCGATTTTACCTTCTGATATTTGTCCGGAGCTAAAGGTCTGGGTCGCGCAAATACAGGAGGTCCTGTAGTCTCAATATAATGAACAACAGAGTGTCTTGGTGTATCTTTGAAACAAATAGGTTTCGTTATATCGGGATACTCTAACATTAAGTCGTAATATTTATTATTTATATCCAACGTAGTTATAGATGACTCATCGTGTTGCACTATCGATGTTATAGTATCTATATTTGTTATTTGATCAATAAGTCGACGACGATATAAATCTACTATAAGCTTATGATAGGTTAAAAAGTCTGCGCCTAAAATTGGCTGTTTAACGTCCGCTAACACAAAAGTCCACCGAAAAGGTCGGCGTAAATTTAAATTTAACACTAACGATTTAACACCATATGTCTTTATTTCACTGCCATTAGCTGCATAAAGTTTATATTTATCACTAACTACATTGTCATAGAGTCGTTTTTTGTACGGTAACACTGAAATATTTGCACCTGTGTCCACAAGAAAACGTAAACCACTTTTGCAGTCGGTTACGCATAAACGGTGGAACGGCGATATGGTGCAGACATCCACCCTTGGCTGCACCTTGTCTAGTTTTCCGGCTGCTCCTTCCAAGCACATGGCTCAACACATTTCTTTGCTTTAACGCCGAAACGGTGATGATAGAAACATAGCCATTTCGATGATTCGGACCTGCGGCGTCGTTGTTCGGATACTGAACGTCCGCGTGATGTAGTACGTCGCCTCCAATTACATCGAGTACTTCGATACCTTGGTCTCGATCTCTCAAGTTCCATGACCTTCACACTTAACTTGGCTATTTGCGACATAAGAAATGATGTATCATCCGATTTTTCAGCTTGACAATTTACTTCAGCAGCATGTAAAGGTCTCGTGGTCTCCATAATTTTGTCAGCGATAGCTGCAAGGTTATCTAGATCCTTTACCTCGCTAACTGCCAACACCGCTCGAACTGACGTGGGTAAATGTCCTTGCCACATGATACACAGCGTTTCATCAGGTATCTTATTACGAGCCAAATCCCGCATTCGCCTAAGAAGCTGAGAAGGCTTCTGATCGCCAAGTTCCATTTCCCCCAGCAACTTCTGGAACTGTCGGTTCTCCGATTCTTCGTAAACAGCGAGCAAACGATTTTTCAAGGTCTCATATTTATGTTTTTCTGGTGGATTAAGGACAATATCGCTAACCTGCTCGATGACTTGCTTGCCCAATTTCGGAAGCAACAAGTTAAACTTCGCTTCATCGCCTAATTTTTGAGAAGCTAGCACCGCCTCACACTGGGCGAACCATAATCGCGGCTGGTCGCACCAAAATTCCGGTATTCGCGATGATACGCTGATTGTTGCCAGTTCTGAATCTTCACGTAAATTTTCCTTCGCTTGTACGACTGGTTTAGAATTGGTAGCCATCCTATATTTGTTCTTCAGTCAGGTGTTTTTTTTCAGTCGGGGTCACCAATATGTGGCGGACGTGAGGAGAAAATAATAAAGCTTTAATATTAAGCGTTTATTGAAGCGCGTATTGCACTTGCGAGACCAAGCGAGAGACTGTCGAATCAATACATATTCGATCTATAATCTAATGTAATATCTATACTTATATATTATGCTCGTTACAAATCATATTACCTCATGTTACAATAGGTACACTTTACCTCGTAGATTGCTGAAAACTAGAAAGACGAGAATTACGAGGCGTAGATCCGGAAGAAAACACCGTTGAAGTGCGATGCACTATGTTACACTTTTTGCCGGGTATTGGTGGCCGTGCACTGACGCCCACAACAACTGCAATGCAAATGCATAAGAATAATAATAATTAACACAGAAGTAGACTTTTAATGTGCAATTATTCTAAAACACAAGTAAAATTAAGTACATTAGCAAAAACGAATTCAAACAATTGATGTACTTTTGTACTTTAGTCTTACTTTTATTGTATATAGAGAGAGATCCATCGAATGAGTCAGTTGTCAGGGATAACGGGGATAAGTTACGATCATATGACGCCCCCATGCTTTGTTGCACCATTGTGGCTACACGCTCGCGCGCCTCATGCTCTATCGTTCCTTCTTCAGTTGTATGACGCGTCTGAAATGTAATTTCAGTTAAGTTTATATTTATATAAATTAATTTTAAGTTCATCATTTAAAAATATAAGCATTGCTGAAATCTAGATTATAAATCGAGATGAGAGATATTTTTTTTTTTTAAAACAGTTCGAGTTCTGTTCCTATTTACATTGTATTAAAAAAATAATAATAATATTACTATGAAATTTAAATTATTATTTTAGTCAATAATTTAAAAATATTATTTATTTACCCTAGTATATTCGGCGTTCGAATCTACTTCTTGCCGAGTGATGTCTCGATTAGGATTACGAGCTACCCAAACCGTGAGTTCGTAAGTTAATTTTGCCTCTTTTACTTTATTTTCCCACGTCTGTAAAATTAATGTTATAATTATAGTTGATACTCTAAAATGCTTGAATTTAATCTGTCAATAAAGTTAACTAATGTATATTACCTTAAGAGTAAGTTGAGGGTTAGGGTCCTTTGGCGTTTCGGAGAGAATGAAACTGGCATATGAGGACCCTACATCATCCACCATGATATATGCCAGCCCAGTTAAGTCACGATTATGTTTATCGAATTTGGATATTTGTACCAACTTGTCAATCATGTATTTAGGCCTAAAACAAAACGAAAGAACATCAGTACATGGTCTTAAAATGAAACAAAACCAAAAAAGATTTCGCGCTGCGCAAATCAAAAATGTTATATTATAGTTAAATATAAGTATTTATTAAAGCAATCAATTTTTAGTCTATAGAAATGACGTCAAAGAACGTATGAAATAACGCTATTTACCTAATCAGCTTAAACTGATTGCCTTTAGTTAGTTTCCTGCAAACTAACAGCATGTCAGTAAGCAGGAAAACGCGGACATCAATCTGCAAAAAAATAAATAATAATTAAAATTTAGTAGCTAGTTCGTAGCTACTAAAAGTATACAATAAATATGTAATATATAATGGATAACTATTAATGCTTTATAGTCGTAAATAGAAATAATATTGCTTGGCAATTAAATAATTTAAGTCAAGTCAATATTCGCAAGAGCATTATGTAATAATTTATTTATGATTCGCTAGCATTGCACTATAGACATATGTAGGTAAATATGGATTTCTATCATTAATTATTAAATAATATTAAAAAAATAAACGCTTACGCACTTTTTATTATTTGTAATATACATACTTATTTGTTAATAAATTCAATAGAATCCATATTAACACAATATAAAATAATAACTTTAGGAGCATGAGAATAAACAAGTTGGATGCATCCAGACACAACAGCACCAGCATCAAATCCACTGAATGATATGCAGTATTACGGATTTTTTATAGGTCACATTAAATAGTTTTGAAATCATATATAAAGTTTGTCTCGTGTAATGTTTCGAGCATAATACAAGCATATCTGTCAGTCATAAACAAAAAGATAATTGTCACGGTAATGGAAGAATATTAATCTGCTTGCCTCCTTGGCGCCATCACGGAAGCGAAGGTCGGCTTGGTGGATGAGGCTTCGGTTGTGGGTTGGGAGGCAGTAAAGCATGGGGGCTAGTAGATTCAGGTGAGCATATGCCTTGAATACCTTTTCTACTTCTTCATCTTTAAGAATCTGTTATTAATTTGTTAATTAAATAAAATTTTAAGTTAATTATGTTAATTTTATTGTTTTAAAAGTATAATTACCATGTCGTACGCAATGAGCATATTCTCTAGCTCGATAATTTTCTCTAATTCTTCATGTTGACGGACACAGCGGTTCAACTCGACCACATAATTTTTCGCGGAAGTTTCCTTAAAATAATCCCATAGAATTAGTAAGGTAAAGGATTTTGTAAAAAACGTCTAACAATTTAAAAATACTTTAAAAGAAAAAGCTCTCCATGCTCGTCCATGCTCAGCGGTGCTTTTTTATTACTTAAACTAGCGGCTCACCCTCGGTTCGCTCGGGTTCGCCTCTAGAAAAACACTAATAGAAATCTATTAGTTCCCACGGGAACCGTTCATTTTTCCCGGATGAAAAGTAACCTGTTGTTTGACCGGCAATATAACGTATCAGAATGTTAAATTTTACTAAATTAGGTGCATAAGTTGTATAAGTTATAATAGTTTTTTAACTATCCCACGGGAACCATTTCATTTTCCGGGATAAAAATATCTAAGACGTTGTCCGGGGATATAAGGTACCACCATGCAAAATTTCATTTAAACCGGTCCAATAGATTCGGAGATTAGCCCGTACAAACAGACAAACAGACACAGAAACAAAAAAATTGAAAAAAATCTGGATTTGTTCTATTCGTCTTCTTACATCCCCCTGACTCGCGATGGCTTATTATTAGCGTATTTCATGTATAACTTTGGTGTTTCTATACCGATTTCTATGATTCTTTTTTATGGAATAGTTTATAATGTTAACTTTTTTAATTAGAGATGACTGAGAGTGTTATAAACGTAAGAGTAGACAAATATAAATCAGAAAGCTTCGAACTGCTAAGCTATCGGGAGTTACACGTGTTATTGTGAGTCAACCATAAAAGATAGACATATGCTGTTGTGGGATATTTTTTATATAATTTTAAGGAGAACATTTCCGTCATACATAATTTCTGTGTAGCTTTAACCATTAAGGTTGTACACGCGATGGAAGCTTAAAAAATGGATAAACTCTCCCGTTTTCCCAACATTTCCCTTCACTGCTCTGCTCCTATAGATTGTAGCGTGATGAAAAGTATACTTTAACCAGCTCAGGAGTATGAAAAATAATTGTACCAAGTTTCGTTAAAATCCGTCGAGTAGTTCTTGTTTCTATGATGATGTTCTCCTAGCCGATTCCTGCCACGGCGGCCAATCTCTATGAGATTAGCCAACTGCGCAGGAGATATTATAGTGCTCAAGTGTACGCGCAGACACAAGTGCACTCTCTATTCCTATCACTCTCATACTCCGGTGGGACAAGATGTGTTTCTATAACGGTTATACAGACAGACTGACAGACAAAAATTTTATTGATTGAATTTTTGGCATCAGTATCGATCCCTAATCACCCCCTGATAGTTATTTTGGAAATATATTTCATGTACAGAATTGACCTCTCTACAGATTTATTATAAGTATATATAGATTGGGTTAAATTAAGCAAAGATATTAACACTATTTAACACCATTCCGTGTGTAGGTATATGTAGATTTATGTACGGATATGGGGAACTATAATGGTTTGATTGGAAGAGATCTCTCCTCCTTTTTGAAGTGTGTCAAAATAAAAATATATTACACAAAAAAGTTACTCATACTGAAAACAAGATATTTTTTTCTTAAAGCCAATATTTCACATTTAAAATAAAACTATGTTATCGGACTCATTCGAGGATTTATTTGAATTGATGTGGATTGGTTGCCGATGTTTCGAATACATTTCAGCATTCATGGTCACGGGAGAGATTAACCCGAAAATATAGTTTTATTTGAAAGAATATTCCGTATATAATACTAAATGTGTCACAGTATTATAGGGCTATATAATTAAAATATTTCCTAATAATAAAACCAGTATTAAGAAAATGTAGACCCAGTACCATAGCCTCTACAGAGGAACGCTCGTATTCACTATCAGTGTGGTTAGCAATCCTGTGTAAAATCAATCCGTATTTAGTTAGTCGTTGCATTGGTTTGACCAAGAAATCGTTAAGTTGCAACCTGTAAATTAATTATCTTATAAATAACAAATGGTTATGAAAATATTTTTATATGTAATTATATTTGTTTAATAACTAACTTAAGAAATGGAATTATATAATAACCTGTTGCATTCTTTCTGGCTGTGGCACCACGCCAGGTACACATTAAACTCTGCATCATTTTGGCATTTACGGTAGTATTCGAGAAGTTTGCTTTGGTCAACAACGAATTTCTCATACGCCCAAAGTAATTGTTTGAAGCATGCAAATCCATGAGCCATGAGGTCAGTGTCAAACCTGAAAGTATTAGACATAGAATGTGTTAGACTTAAATTCCGTAAAATATTACCGATTTATTATTTCACTAACCTATGCATTTAAAGAGACTATGTTTGCACCTTGCAACCGAAAGTAGAATTATTGTATTTTTTTTTAAATTTATAGTTAATAAGCTATATGTGTATTTCTCTATTAACTCACGGTCTTTCACAGTTAACAGCATCCTCAATCATGGGTATGAAAGTTAAATTCCAGAAGTGGAGGCTTGAGTTGAGTAAATCTGGTAAATTCGAGAATAATTTCGATGTACAGATGCCTAGCATTTTACCACGGTCTTGAATTGCATGCGCCGCAGCAATGAAAACCTGCATAAATATGTATAGAAGCAGTTATATTAGTTTCATGAACTTGTGCACATATTATTTGAATAGTGAAGCGAATTTAATGTAGATTTACACAGTATTGTAAATCCCAACTACTGTACTAAATGATATCTTGTTTCAGTATGTTAAAGCTATTTTATCAATAAAATATATTTTTAGATTTTAAAACAATTTTATTATAATAATTCCAAATACAAATGTCAAAATAAAAATGTGTTAAAATTTATTAAAAATTATACGGTAAAATAAACTTTGATCTTTTAAGAAGACTATTGAAATGCCTTAAAAGATTCTCAGGTTCAAGAGACCAACAATGAATACGTTTTGGAAAAAATAAACATTATGGGAACAATATGAGTGTGTGTCATTTAAAGAAATAAATTTAAGAGCTCTTCAAGTATTAAGTTATGAATAACGTAAGCAATTGGCTATGTCAGTGAAAGTAGTGAAAAAAATGCTAAATTTTGGTGCACATTATGGTTTGACATGAAATTGAATGATTACATATTTATCAAAATTAACTCTAAATTGGATATTGAAACGACGCGGCAAATAAAATTAAAATAAGCACTGCAAGTGTCGTAGAAGACGATATGGTGCTGGTTATCGCACCTCGGGTTTCTGCACGACGTTGGTAAACAACAGCATTCCCAAAGAGGGTTGATGTCAGGCAGGCGGCCGGTCGTAAAACTTTTGCCAAAACCGATCAGCAGTATGGTAGACGTACTGCGCCGACCCCAAGTAATTTGGGAAATGGGCAGGAAGAAGAAGAAGAAGAAGAATTCCATCAAAAAGATAACATGTAAATCATGATTATTTTATTGGTTTAAAAAACGTTTTTTTTGCAAATATCTCGAAAACTTTGAGGTTATTGTAAAAAGTGACATCTCTAAAAGTCGTAGATTTTTACTAGACCTACAACTATTGTAAAGAATACTTTTCGATACAATGTTACCATAAGCCGGAAATCGAAAAAAGCTATTTTTAACGGTTTGCACCCCTTCATTTCTCGGGGGTAGCTGGACAGCGGGAGCATTTTACGGATTCTTGTTCCTTATATACCTGCTAACGTTTTGAAAACATAAAACTTCGCGATCGGACGACGAATTTTTTGTATAGCGCATATTTGAATAATTTTTTTTTTAATAACGAATAAAAACTTAATTTGTTTCGAATTAAGAACTTAAAAAAAAAATATTAAACCTTCTTCTCTTAAATTTCAAACTTCTTAAAAAAATATATTTGGCTTTTGTGGGTCATGACCCTCATGACCCTCTCCCCCCCTCCCCCTGGATCCGCGCTTGACCATAAGTATCTACTTAACCTTGTCACTAACGATTCAACTCAATTGTGAGTTCTCACATAAAGCGAACGCGGACTTTGCATGTAAAATATTACATGGCTAATGTTCCGTCTGGATTATTTTGAGAAACACGATCAGATTTACGACAGAATTTACGTTTATATGTGATGAATGTAGGAATATTCTTTAATGGCTTAACAAAGTAATCGTTAGTATAAATAATGATGTAAAAATGTACTATTTCTTCAATATTAATAAAATACTTAACAATAAACTTAATATTTACAATCTTTCCCTCATTTTGATGAACGACGACGGCACGTTTGGCTCAGTTTGTAATGACCCTACTTGCTGAGCCAGCGGTCGCGGGTTCGAGTCCCGCTGAGGGTATTCATTTGTGTGATGAGCACGAATGTTTGTACTTCAGTCATGGGTGTTTATATTTATAATATGTATGTATCTAAAATTATATATGTGTAGTGTATCAACTATGTGGTATCCATAACACAGGCCTTGTAGCTTACCATGGAACTAGATGGCGCTTTGTGTTAATGTATCAACAGATTTATTTATTTATTTATTTATTTAATTTTAAAATGAGAGTGCCAAGATAAACGATCAGTCATTTAACGCACGTGTACATGTGCTAATTAAAGCATTGTAAAGCGATCTTTAGCGCAATATTCTATAATAAAAAAAATGAATTATTTTACAATTTCGGTATATCTACAGTATTTAAAAAAATTACTCTTACTTCACGAGAAAAACTCCAGTATACTATACTAATTATAAAATTTACTTCATAAAAAGATTTTATTCAATATTGAGATAAGAAAATGAAAGTTTGCCGAACGATTTCAGATTCGTAATAATCTTCAGATATGAAGGCAATAAAAAGCTCTGGTCTGAGCTTTATTCCTTTTTCAAATTTATTCAGCTTTTGGCTTAGTTTTATATACTATTTTAGTATCTATTTTATACATTGTACTTATTTATACATCGCATAATGATTTAACTGCTTCGTTGGTCTAGTGAATTTGTGTGGCTGCAGATTCGGAGGCCTTGATTCGATATTGGTCAGGCTAAGCATAGTAACTGGGGTTTTCCGTGAGAAATTGTTCGCGACAATCCGGAGTTGAGAAGTGGCCGGTATTTAAACCCGTGCCTCACACTTTTGCACTAAACTTTCCGGGCATATTTTTAAATATTTTTTTATATTAAGTTTAAGTTTTTTCTAGCAAGATATTGTTTTTACAATTATGTAATGATGTTAGCTATTGTTTAAAGATAAAAAAATAAGAAAAATCACGCATATTCCCTATTATATACCAATTTTTTCGTCCGAATCAATCGAGTGGGGTACGAAAATACAGACTTAAGAGAGGATTGCTTCTTGTATGAACATTTTAGAAGAACCAGACAGAACATCCACTAATGTGGTATGCAAAGAAATTCTTGATTAAATTCTATCTTTCTGTTCGCAACTTCTTAGCGTAGACTAAACTAAGTGAATCTGGAGTGATAACATACAACAATGATAAAAAATGTTATTGTCAAAAATTATAAAATCAATGCAAATTAAAATGAAGCAAATGTTTTAATCCACGTGAGCGTAACGGCGGGCAGAATGGAAAACAAAATAAGAACGGAAATTTAAAGTAACTTAAAAACTACGGATAGAAGGGAGACTGTAAGTTTCAGGTGTACATAACATTGGGTCTTTAAAATAACGTAAATGTTAGCCTGTTAGTATGTTTGTTAAAAGCTTATATTAGCCGAGTAACACTATTCTTAAGTCGTAAACATTGTATGAGAGTTGTATCATTGTACTCTCTTCCTCTAACTTTGAAAAGATTAAGTATTAAATGTGCAAAAAAGAGAAGTAGTGTGGCTTGCGAAATGCTTGTGAAATATTTTAAACGAAAATTTTACAGAATTATACGTAAAATAACTTTTCATAAACAGATGAATATTTTGAGTTACGATTACTAAAATTGAATTTGTTTTCTGTAATATATTTAAGAAATATTATGAAAAGAGAACTTATTTTCGCAAATAATAAAATATGTAATGCGAAAGCGTAAAAAGAACATTTGTGTGTAAATATATATTGTAAAAACAACACAATTATTGGCGGTACAGAACCCCCGATGCGCGAGTGAAAATCACACCTACTCATTCACAATCATACACATTTGAAAATCATTACAGCTATCAAATTATTACTAATAGCATAATGCCCAAGAGCTTTTTATAGTTGTTGTGCGAGCGAAGCCGCGGGCTCTGCTAGTACTACATAATATGTTTTTAGTCAACTTGTTGTTTTATTTTCAACGTAAACTGACTAAACAATTTTAATAAACTTTGGCTCATACAAAATTTATTTCCAGTTGATTTATATTGGTATTTCAATACTAAAACATAGGTTTTATTAATTTGTGGTTAATATTATACATAGTAAGTAGATAAAAAGTATTATAATATACGAAAATATTACGCACGAAACCAATTGAAAGGTTAATTTAAATTGTTTTGCCAATAGAAATACAGTTCAGTATTAAAATGATCATATTAAGTAAATTATTATATATTGGTTGTTCGTTAAAATGACGGTCACCGAAATCCCTGTTCTTACTATTATGTAACACTAGCATTGCCCGCGTTCAGAAGACCTAAAACCAAATTCTTAGGTTTTACATAGTTTATTAGTAGTATTAGTATTCTCTTACAATGCAGTTTTTGTATTCTTTCTCAGAAATGAGATATTTTCATTTTTGGTAAAAAGTATTTATATGTTGACCCGGATATCTAGCTATCACCATACCAAATTTCATTAAAATCCCTCCAGTAGTTTTTCTGTGATGCGGTAACAGACAGACAGACAAAAATTCTAAAAACTATAGATTCGGCCTCTGTATTAATAATAATGCTTATTTAAATAAGATTTTCCAAAAAAATTTTAATGTACAGATTCGGCTTAGTTACAATTTTATTATATGTAGATAAAGTATTTTGTTTATACATAGGCATGTTTAGAAAAATATAAGCAGCCGAAAAATCCTTCTGTCACCAAATGACCCTCAAAGATGTATGCTATTAGTGAAATTATTATCGAAGAAAATATTTGAAGAGCTTGAGCACTCTTAGACGGGCGTGCAAGAAGATAATGATGACGGATAAGACAATGATTTCTGAAACTATTCACTCTGCCTGGACTGGTAGGATGAGTAAAAGAACTTATATAAAACGTAAAGTGTAAAATGTTTCCACGTAAGAATGAATTTTTATTCAAAAAAATATTTAAAAAATATCTATTGTGCAAATTCCGCTTAGTTACAATTTTATTATGTGTATAGATTATTGTATAAGTAGAGACTTATTATAACTGTATTAAAATAATAGTATAACAATACTCATGCTGCGCAATAGAAATAAGCTGATTTGCCTTTAAAAAAAATGTCTTTTTACTCTCGAAATAAGAAAATGATAACTTGAAAAGGTATTATATTAAAAAGCTACATTTTCAACAAGCCTACAAGAGTATATAATTAGGTAATATTAAAATAATATTTTTGAATACAAACTAATTTGTTTCCTTTAACGAACCGAATATGTTCTTTAACTTGTTAATTTCAATGTTAACGCAATCAATTAGGTATTGCTTTTATCACATACCTGGAACTTAAAAATATAAGTGTCACCTGCGGCCGCATCATATTTGAATGACTATAGTTAGAGGAAAAAGGGAAGCAGTGCCCGATTAACTGTACCAAGCCAAATACAATTACCGCGTGTTAAATACATAAATGTATAAGTGAGGTTTCATATCTGTATAAATATTTGAGTGATTTGCTTTTAAAATATAAATATCTGTTTTGACGCACACATCCCTGGACTACTAGCCTGACTTGTAAAATATTTTTTATATTTTATTTATTTAGGTAAATAATTACCCTTTAGATGATAGGCAATTATAAATATGTAAATAAACTACGTGAGTGGAGCTGCGGCAAAAAGCTAATACAAATAATAAATTTACATACTTCGTGTGAGGCTGTCTTTATTAGATTTTTAGTCCAATCCTAAGCTCTGATATCAATTTTACAGTAGAATGTTTAAATTTTTGGTGTCAGGTAGTTTGAAGTACTTTAACTACGAGTGATTCTCGAGTTTGTTAAATTTATTATACAATATTTTAAAATATAACAGGATTTTATATAAAATTTTATTTTTCACAATTCTTATAATAGGAAACACTTTCCTTTATTTAAAAAACAAAAATTTGTTTTTACCTTCCGGGTTCTCGTTGCTCGTTAATTTTAACTTAGTATTTTAAATACGTACTTTTGAGAAGCTTTTAGCACACATATAATCAAAATTAAGCATTACATGACTAAATTATATTTAAATTCTTTTAATTGACTCCTAACTTGGTAAATTTTGTATGATAGAATTAATGGTAAGTCTATACATATAATAAAATTTTAATGGCAGCATATTGTTCATATAAAATAAAAAATCTATATCATATTGTTGTAAAGCATAATAAAACTTACTACTTTAATGTTCCCAGTAAATATACTAAGGTGGGTGGAGCATGAGAGGCCACGCTCTTCGCTAAGGCCGATTATTAAAAATTCGTAGTTATTGCCATGCGATGACAAATTCCTTCTACTGAGACTAGCAGCCATCGAACTCAAACACTCAGACGCAGCGGCGAGCCGCTGGCGCTGCTGGTTTGATAATGCGGTACCTCGCTTTGTTGACTTCTTTCGTCGACGTTAAAATTAGAATACGCGCTCACAGCAAAACGTTAGTTTTCAAGTAAATAGACTATTATTTTCTTTATTTTTTTTACGGATTTCTATTCCTTATATACCTGCTGACATTTTAAAATCATAAAACTTCAGGTTTTCAATATATTTTTTTCTCTTAAAAATAAACGGATTCTAATATTATTTGATTTGATTAGAGTCTAATATTATTTTCTTAAATAATTTTATTTTAAAGCTCCTTTTAGAATTTAGCCTTACAAGGAACAGACCCATAAAAAGGCCATTATAGTCGGTTTTTTTTATTTTATTATAAACATTATTAGCAACTTATTTGATATCGATATAATGCTTATTAAAAATATTTTTAAAACATTTTCACAAATACATTCTTAGTTTTACGATAGTGTTCAAGTAATGTTCGTTGTAAATATTATGATATGTATTTAATGTTTTGTTTTATTGAAGGATCTTTTATGATGATTAAGGATAACTGGACATTTTGATTGTCTCAACGTTACTTTTAAGTTAAACGACTGATTTATTATATCGGCCTTGTATGGAGCCCTGTTTCTTGCAAGGCCATTTTAGAAGAGTTCAATAAAACTTAAATTTAATAAATAATCATTAACCGTCCAATAAAATAAAATGTTTTATAAGTCACATAATACTCGTAGGACAAAGTGTTACTTATTAATAATTACTTTGTTTCATTTATCTAATAAATAAAAGAATTATAACTGTTTATTTGTTAAGGTTATGGAAGGCCATGGTCCACTCACTTTATATCAAAATATGTTTATAGTAAGTAATAATATTATATAAAGTTAGAATATCCAAGCAAGTCCAAACTTAGTAGTATCCGCCTGCCGCTGCGGTATAAAATCTCTTATATAAATTTCTTGTATAATCTTTTATAAACAACATTAAAGTTGAGCTATTGTTATTCTACGGGAACGTATACCCGAGTTAAAAAGTATTCTATTTCATAGTTCAGTTAATGGTCTATAGCTGTAAGGGTGCTAAATTTCATTCAAATCCTGAACGGATTCCACCTGCTCACGCGTTATTGATTCAAAACCTTAAAGCTTTAACATTTATAAAGGTTTTAACTAGCAGAACCCGCGGCTTCGCCTGCGTTCAATCTACAAAAAAAACTCTTTTGCTTTATATTATATAGCGACTTACCTCGCTTCGCTCGGGTTCGTCCCTAAGTATTTATATAATATTAAATTATTTGGATACTGTTCATACAAAAATACTAAAATCGCGACAAAAAAATGTCGGGTGGGGGTAGGAGGGTAATACTTTACGACCTAGTCTCATACATACCAAATATAAAAAAAAAAATTAAAATCGGTCGAGCCATTTCGTAGGAGTACGAGCACAAAGTCAAACACCGTCACACGAGATATTTATATATTAGGGGCCGTTCATAAAATACGTTCACATACAAGGGGAGGGGAGGGGTCTGGCTGAGTGTGACAAGATGTGACAAGGGGGGACGGGGGGTATACGGCAACGTGACGTTCGCCGTTTATTATTTTTTGACATGAGCGCTAGCTCTGTGGCGCGACTCCAGCGGCGATGCGATCCGTCACAACTGGTTTCTTTGTTTTTCCAATACTTGAGAGAGTAACGTTTCCACGTACCCTGCGCTCTCGATTCAGTAACAAATGAAAATACTGTTTCTCATGTATTAATTATTATTTTATTCCTTCATTCGCCATTTAGCAGTGAACTAATAAAGACGCTTTTTTATCTTCTCAATTTAATATTAGATGACGATGAAGTGGACGGTAGTTATGAAGATGAAGAAGAAGATGGTGCAATACCGATTGTAGATATTTCGGCCCGTTTAGAAAATCTTGGACTTCTGAATATTAGAAATGTTATTTATTATTTATATGTTCGCTATGAAAGATATTTATTAATTTATTTAAATTTTATTATAATAACTAAATAAATATTTTTAAAGTTTCAGAATTTGTGTACTATCATTTAGAATTTATCATACTCAGCAGGGGGGGGGTCTTAGTTTTTGTGACGAAATATTTCTAGACGGGGTCACAGAAAGTGTGACACAGCGTGACAATAGGGGGGGAGGGGGTCAAAAAAAGCTGATTTTAGTGTGACGTATTTTATGAACTGCCCCTTAGATAAGATTACAATTTTTTCACTTTATCCTGAGGCATAGAAGCGAGCGTGTACCTAAAATGTTAGACAATTTACAATATAATCTTAGTAAATCTAACTTTTTAACCAACTAAATTGTGAATAGTTTTGAAATTTTGTTTCTGCAAATTGTTGTCTATATTATATGAACTTCATTCACCATTCAGGTGGCTTCGCGCCCTCGATATTTGGGGATTAACCTTCGACCGGCGAACTTTATGAATCACCCTTTTGCGTGTTAGACCAGTTAAGATATTATACTTCAGAAAAGCTAAGGTATATTATTGACGTAAGCTATAAATAGACGCGTTTAGTCATTACATGATTTCTTATATAATTTTTGTACTACTTAGGTATAATAAAGTCTATAACTTAAAATGTCATAATGTTAAAATAATGAAAGCATGTAATTACGTTACGTTACGTTAAAAAAATTTCAAAGTTAAAATTAAGCTTAATTGTCTTCTTGTCAGCAGAAATACTGCTTCGGCAATGTTAATCGTAGGGTAAAGAGAGAATACTGGGATCTTCACAATTTTGTAATAGGCGTTAACACAAGATCACTTTAAATTCTCTAACATAAAACTAGAATGCACCAAAATATATCTCAGCGACATGTCACGTGGCCAACATATTATATTGTTCCCATAATGTAGTTTTCTATAAAAGATATTATAGCACATATGTTTGTAGATTATAAATATCACATATCAAACAAATATTGGTTAGAAATGGATGATTCAGCTCAAAACTTTTAAGAATCATTTCAGTGTATGTGAACATTTTGTGTAGGTTACGTATTATTTAAATTAACGGCAAATTGTACGTTTTTATTTTACTTATTGCAATGATCTGTTTATTTAGAAAACAATGTGAATTCTGTTCTTTGTAACGTTAATAGCGACTCACCCCCGCTTCGCTCGGGTTCGTCCCTAGGCTGCTTCCCTATATAAACTTTCATCCCCATTTTCACCCCCTTAAGGGATAAATTCCCGGGGTCTCAAACTATCTTATTACCAAATTTCATCTAAATCAGTTTAGTAGATCTAGAGATTACCCCCTACAACGTCACAAACTCACAAACCCACAATCTCGCAAACTCACAATATCACAAACTTTACCTCTTTATAATATTAGTATAGATGAACTTGAGTCTGAAATCCAATATTTTTCCAATGTATTTTTCTAACCGTGACACATTCTTTTACTTAATTCTATTCATACCTTTTTTAATTAAGCCTAAAAGTTTATATGTAAAGTACTTACCTCCACAATCGCCATTAAGTGCTTGATGTACTCAGCCTCAGTGTGGATTAGTTCACGAATCACGGCTTGCCTGGATTGCTCTTCAGCTGGCAGTGCTAGGATAATGGTTAATTCATTAGTCTTAATTTTTTTTGTCATTTAAGAAGATTGATAATTTCTACCGCTATACATTTATATACATTAGTTATAATTAATAATAGAGATTCACTATTATGTCGATGGAAAAAATAAAATAAAAGTACATTATACTCTATTTTATTTTACGGTAAGTCTTAATAATTACTTTTAAACGGTAAGATAACACTGACTTCAAATCACCTAAAAAGAAACTATGCCACGTCAAGGGGTGATTTTCTTTCAGCCTTTATATTAAATAAACAAATTAAATATGTTGGGACATTAACACACAGCACCATCAAGTTCCATGGTAAGCAACGAGGCTTGTATTATGGATACCAGATAGTTGCTACACTACATAATATTATGTATAACTTTAAATACATACATATTATAAATACCCATGACTGGAGTACAAACATTCGTGCTCATCACACAAATGAATACCCCTTAGCGGGACTCAAACCCGCGACCGTTGGCACAGCAACTACAAACTGAGCCAAACCTGTCGTCGTAATTAAAAAAACATCACGTAATATAAATCCAAATTAAGCAAAATCCTTTTCTAAGTCGGTTATAAAGATATGTGGTATAACAGAAATGTATAGTCATGTGTAACAAAAATGTGTAGTCAATTTAAAATTCAATATGTAATATTTGCGTAAATCTAAAAAAGTTTATTGTTGATCTAAGTTATACTACACTCATAGCGAATTTCGCGTAGATACTTATATTGCCAATCCATTGCAGATTCTTTATTATCCCAAGTTGAATTTTAATAATAAATAAGAGAACAAAATAATTTATTAATGAAGCTTACTCTCCACCAGCTTACTTATATAACTTTCATAAAACTTTCAACCACTATCTCGACCGTATACGTTCACTATACTTACGTGTTAAAAATTTTCACGTTGAAAGTTAACCCATTAAATAAACATGGCCTTTGCTCTTTAAATAGTCATGCTGGGTTAGAAATTACGTAGATTTATTCACTCGATAATAATCGGACGAATACCTAACATAATTTTGATTTGTCCTATAAAATATTAAATTATGTATATCGAGAAATATATAGGTGTTCATATAATAAAATTCTGAGTCGAATCTGTACACAAAATATTTTTTGGAAAATCCTATTGAAATAGTCAATATTATCAATATAGAAGCCGAATCTATAGTTTTTGGAAATGTTGTGTGTCTATCTGTCTGGGAACGTATAAGGAGAAAACCACTGGACAGAATTTGATAAAATTTATATTGATAGATGTTAGCTGGTTATCCGATCCGGGTCAAACATATAGGATACTTTTTACAGCTGGAAAATATCTCATCTCTAAGAAATCTATACTAACCGTTAAAACGTACCTAGAGACGAACCCGAGCGGAGCGAGGGAGTGTCGTATGTTTAATAAATCTATTTTTTTATATATAAAATATTTTCAATTAAATAATTCATTTTCATTTATAAAAACTCTCGCTTATTTTAGAGATAGTTGAAGTTTTTGGTTTCGACTGTACTCATAACAAATAACATTGCCTGAGAACTTTTATTTTCTGAATTAAAATTAACTTTTATGTAAGTTAGCAATTAGTACACCAACACTAATTCTGATGAGATTTCTTTTTAAGTCATTCTGATGTACATTGAGCTAAGCCAAAACAACATTTTAATTTTGTTAACAGTAGGCGGAGTACGTGGGCTACTTTATTTCCAAATGTCGATGTATAAACTATTTATAAATAAATAATTACATTAAATTACATTACATTTAAATAAAAATCTAAGATTAAAACATACATTAAAACGCTAGTATTATAATATAAGCTTTGATGATTTAAACTGACTTAATATCTCGAAATGTCTATTAACGTGAAATAAAATGTCGCTTCCTTAAATAATCCTCTCTCCATAATGATGTTACCAGCTCGCGTAGTTTTATAGAATTGGTATAATTTATGTTATCGTATTCAGATAATACGTCGGAAATGGAAATAAGAAGAAATACGGCAAGAATTCTTACAAAAAATCCTTTCGTTACTTTTTTAACTGTGAAAATGATAAAATTAACCGTTATTTATTGCCTCGAAAGCTAGTTGAAAAATATATTATGCAAGTTTTTTTCTTCTGTATAATTTGTAAGATAAAAACACAATATTTATATATGATCAATTAAGTACTTACTACGTGTAAAACCACAGATCATATACTATAACTAGCTAAAACTATATTGAAAATAATACCCAAGTAGCACAAGGAGCATTTAAACTAATCTACCGTGAATTTATATAGAACTAAATGTGTATGTAAGCTCTTAGAAAAGTTCACTCTTCATTCTAAAGCTGCATATTAGCATTGTAAAATCATTTTAACACTTTAAACTGTACATCGGTCGGATAATGGTATAAAAAATGCTTCTATATTGTTTTTGGTTATAGTTCAGTAGACCACAACGCCGCTGTCCAGCTTTTAGCATTTTTCGGTGCCTTTAGTTCTACAACAACATTTTTAAGTAGTAAGGAAATGTCTAGTGCTGCTTAACAGCACCTACTTGTGCCATTTTAATGCTTGAGTTTTAAAGAAGCAACTTAGTGCTGTTGTTCAGCCAACAGTTCTATAGTAAAATACGTTTGAATTATTGTAATGCCTATCACTGTGTATAAGCATAGACTTATACCATTGTAATGCTTGCATTTTAATAGAGCAATTGAGTGTTGTTGTACAGTCAGCAGCTCTATAAAACTCTATTGGTATTTATGTGAACAAATATAAAACTACTTTTCAGCCGATGGCACTACAGTAGTTCACTAAAAGTTTTCTCTCTGGCCTCCAGCTTAATGAATGTTCATGTTGTCAGTATTTGTGCAGCTAACGGAATTAATAAGCACTTTTAATGGTTCGCCTTGCTGTTTTAGACCGAGATCATTTTGTAACCTAAAAAAAACTTTGTTTGGACCTATGTAAGATAACTATAGACCTATAATAAAATCCTTGCTTAGTTTAATACCTATAAACCAATAACGATGTGTCTATTTTACAAATTTTCGTCTTACACCAGAAATACGTAATTGATCTTATGTTTCACACATTATATTTATCTATTATTTTATAGCACAATCCTTATATTCTTGAGGCGCATAAAAATTTTAAATAAAACCTATATATACATTGACAGTAAACTATACTTCGCAGTAATATTTTAAGCAAGATACAGTGATAAAGTAAAAATAAAAGTTCTTCCCCAAAATAAAATAATTACATTCAACATTAATTACAATAACTGTCACGCCGTCACCAAATCACATACCGTATCGTGAAATGCTATATGAGAATTAAATTTACTAAATTTAAATGCTCTATTCTACAAAAGCATTGTATAGATCATTACATGCTTTTTCAATGAGTAGGGTTATATTTAAGTTCTAACTGTAAACACTTAAAATACCATAAATCAGCTCTAATCATGCTTTTTATCAAATATAATGCTTATATAATGCCATTAAACAACCTATGGGATATATACGTTCTAATAGTGAACACTAAAAAAATCATTATATAGCTTTATTAGTGCTTTGATCCATTTTAATGCTGGTAAAATGCTTTTGTCATGTCATTAAACAGCCATGTGAACCTTAAGCTGTATAATTTGTGCCCAAATGAGCCTTACAGTGGCTGTCTAAGCGCTTATAATGCTCATATGCATCCAGCTTAAACAGCTTAAGCAATACATGGATGCCGTAAGTCGTCCATTAAACAGCTTCCTTGTGCTACTTGGGTAATCATATCTATACATATAATAAAACTGTAGTGGTTGAATATCTGTACATAGAAAAAAAATGCTAAAAACCGAGTCAGCAGGAGTTTTCAAATTTTTTGTTTCTCTGTCTGTCTGTTTACGGTACGGGCTAATCTCGGAAACTATTAGACCGATTTAAATGAAATTTTGCATGGTAGTACCTTATATCCCCGGTTAACATTTTAAATACTTTTTATCCCAGAAAATTAAAAAATTAAAGAGTTCCCGTGGGATATTAAAAAAAACTATAGTAACTTATACAGCTTAGTACATAACAACTTTTGCACCTAATTTAGTAAAGTTTGGCATGCTGATACCTTATATTTCCGGTCAAACAACAGGTTACTTTATATCCCGGAAAAATAAACGGTTCCGGTGGTATAGATCTGTTTGTGATTTTTAGTTAAAAATATATCATAGAAAATTAATTTACGCTTTAAAAAAATATAGAGTATCATACAATCATTAATGATGAATATAGAGTATCATACAATGATGAATCATGAATGATAATAGATTTATTTAATTTTTTTACCTGACTGTGGCGAAGCCCAACGGAGGGTTAATTGTTTGACCTATGTATGACCCTATGTTCCCTCGTTATTAATGAACGGCTTAACCAATATTAATGAAACTATCTTTTCGGATTATTTCGCGGATTTATTTGGATTTTTGGTTTCCGACGGGAGAGTTTCTCCCGTGACCCCATGATTATATAATAAATATATAATAAAATTCTAACTGAATCGAATCTGTACATTAAATATTTTTTTGGAAAATCTTATTGAAGTAGTGATTATTATCGATACAGAGGCCAAATGTATAGTTTTTAAAAATTTTGTCTGTATGTCTGTCTCTCTGTCTGGGAACGCATCACGAGAAAACCATTGAAAGGATTTTGATGAAATTTGGTATGATGATAGCTAGGTATCCGGGTCCACATATAGTATAGTTGATACTGCGGGAGAATATCACATCTCTGAGAAATGTATACTAAGCGTTAAAATGTTCCTAGGGAACAACTCGGACGGACCAAAGTCGAGTTGCTAGTTGTTAAATAAAACTAGAAACATCTACCTGACCAAAACTAAAAAGCTGTAAAAAAATAATAATTTACAAAAATAAAAAAACCGACTGCGTAAAAAAAACTAAAAAGATGAAAACAAGTTAACAAAGGAACATAGTATTATGCAGTCGGAGATGTTTTATAATAGCTACATGTGTGTATGTATGTCTCCGACTGCATAGCACTATGTTCCTTTGTTAACTTGTTTTCATCTTTTTAGTTTTTTTTACGCAGTCGGTTTTTTTTATTTTTGTAAATTATTTTTTAGTAGAACGTAAAAATATGTAAGCTTTATGCCTATCTCAATAAATAAAGAGACTTACGCAAAAATTAAATAAAACGTTCTATTACTCTTCTGCATTGGCACGACCTTAGTTAAAGATTATCTTAATTTTATGAGCTATCTATTATTTGTTGCGTCGTAAAACTATCGTAAGAAATGTATTTAGGTCAAAGCAACTTAATGTCACTGTTGTAATTTTATTCCATCATAATTAAAAATAATAAAATGAGCTTAAAATGAGATTTGTATGCTAGGTTTATTTACATAAGTGGACAAACAATTATAAACATATTTCTTAAAATAAATATCATCGAAATAAACAGCTGACATTATTACAATATTTAAGTAAATAAAGAAGCCAAATAACTAATTTTGAGCAATTAATTGGCCTACAATATGAAAATACTATTATTTCAGTAGAATCATAAATATATCTAAAGACATTCAATTAATTTTCTTTTATTGCCTCTTTTAGTGATTTTAACGCGTAACGTCGTTAATTAAGAACATAATTCTTGGTTATTGCAGCCATGAGTCATTGAAAAAATCGTGTCTCAATCCATGCAACGTGTTTACAAGCGACCTTGAAGGTCGACTTTAGTTTTGTATTAATCTTTGTGTATTTCTTAAGCATTACTTTGTAGGATATAAATAATTAGCGACTCACCCTCGCTTCGCTTCGGGTTCGTCTTTAGACAAAAACAAATCTATCCCACGGGAACCGTAAATTTTTCCAGGATAAAAAGTAACTTATGTATTATTCCAGACTATAATCTATCTCGTGGTAAATTTTATCCAGATCCGTTTAGCCATTCTGGAGTGAAAGAGTAACAAATATCCATCCATTCATCCTCACAAACTTTCAAATTTATAATATTTTTAGATTTTACACTGTACACTAGACTTTTTAGTTTTTAATTTCTCATACCTTATATTATTTTTATAATACACTAGCGACTCACCCTCGCTTATTATTAAGGGAATGGTGCCATTAACGGAACATTTTTAGTGTAACATTTTGAGCAATAAATGAGGCACAATAAAAAATTTGTTCTATGTAACGTAACTATATCTATTCATCTTTCAAAATATAAACCAAAAACAATATGTTTCCGAAACATTTTAAATTAACATGTTAAATTTAAAAATTCTTAAGATATATCCCATTCATGACGGCGTGATCTTCAATGGGACATTGATGGTCATGAAAGGGACATACTATAAACAAATACTTAGCAAATATTATAGAAGATCTTATGTTTTATAATCGTTTATTAATACACATCGAATGAATAATATATCTATAATATACCATACTTAATCATAATCTGGCCGATGCGTTTTAATGTAGGGACATGCATTTACGCATACCACTTATTTACTGGTATGTGAGACTCACCGGCTGGAGAAGCCAGAACTTAAGCCCCACAGAAACTCCCCCTATTTTAAAAATAACGTCACAGCAATAAGATTTTCGAATAACTGTGTATTATTGTGCACCTTTACACCGTTGGTCAGTTAGCGAAACAATGAACTATCAAATATTATTTAAATAATTTAATAAACAATCTTCATAAACAACGAATAAAATACTTTTACTCCCGAAATATTTAAACTACGCTTCACCAATTTATTTTGTTTTGTAAACCAAATGATATTTACGTCAATATTTGTAAAAATGTAAAAAGAAAAAATGTACTATTTGGTTTCTAGTGTCGTAAATTTAATTTGTCCCATTCTGAACTTGTCCCTTTCATAGTTCTTTCCCCTAAATTTATTAGCCAGCGGTAGCCATGTTAATTTTTTCGTGATTTTTTTTTATGTTTTAATATTTATTCTGCTATCCGAGATGAAGACAAATCCAAAAAATTAAAAATCATGAAAATCGGCCCAGCCGTTCTTGTGTTACTGTTGGTGTAACTAACCTCACTTTGCTTTATACATATTAGATGAGTTCTTGCATAATTTCGTGGCAAATTTTACTATTATCACCTCCTCCAGGTAAATATCTAAGAAATTCATTAAATTTCTAAAAAATCTATTGTCAACTGTAACGCCGGCGTTTCCGCGTTCGTGGAGGGATTAAATATTAAATTCAGTTTAATATACAAAATCGTTAGGCTTAAACCATCCATAAATACTAACACTTAAGTCGATATCATTTACAATGCAAATGGAAAATAAATTAAATCGACTGTGCAAGTGGTTTCAAGAGTTCATTAATACAGATTCTATTTTCTCATTTATAATATTAAAAAATACAATAAGAAACGGTTAAACGGTAAAATTAATTAAAAAGCACTTCATGTTACAATTAACTTAAGGTTTCATAACAAATACATAAAACATAAGACTATAAATATTCTACAAAAATTACAAACGACTTTTTATCTTCCATACCTACATAAAATAAAATTCTGATTCGAATCTGTACATTAAATATAGTACAGTAATAGTTATTATTATCGATACAGAGGCCGAATCTATAGTTTTAGAATTTTTGTCTGTCTGTTTGTCTTGGAACGCATCCCGAGAAAACCACTGGACAGATTTTGATGAAATTTGGTATGATGATAGCTGGTTATCTGGATCAACATAATATAGGATACTTTTTATTGCGGGAAAATATCTCATCTCTGAGAAATTTATATATATGTCAAAACATAACTAGGGACGAACCCGACGGAGCGAGGGTGAGCTGCTAGTGAATTTATAAGAGTTGAAAAGTGAAATTTAATTTTTTTTATTCACATAGACTCATTCAATTTTGGTGTTGGAAAATGCGGGGGCACAATTTGTAAAAGCACTAGATAAAGCTCTGTAGTTCTTAGTAGCATATAAATAAGAATAATTGTTTTATATTGTAAGTAGCAAATTAATTTGAAGTGAGGTCGGACCTAATGTGATGTTTTAAATATTCCGACTGGTTACGTCGTAGAGGGAAGCTACGCGACAACTTCCCTAAATAATAAAAAAATTGTCAATTTTTACTTTGTGTTTAACAATGACCGAATCGTTTCGTTTACAAGTATATTTTACAGGCTGATGTTATTGCCAGTTGTATATACGTGTTCAAGTACGATTTCGGCTAAAAATCTTTGTTCCGATAAGATAATTATTATTAATTTTTATTATGTTACTTATTATTGAAGAGAGTGTGTATTAAAGTGTTTATTTATTTATATTATTAAGTAGCCGCTCGCCCTCGCTTCGCTGGGGTTCGCCTCTAAAAAAGCATAAATAGATTTATCCCACGGGAACCGTATATTTTCCGGGATAAAAAGTAACCTGTTGTTTGATTTGACCGACAATATAAGGTATAGCATGCCAAATTTTACTAAATTAGATGCATAAGTTGTTGTGTACTAAGCTGTATAAGTTACTATAGTTTTTTAACTATCCCACGGGAACTCTCTAATTTTCCGGGATGAAAAGTATCTAAGATGTTGTCCGGGGATATAAGGTACCACCATGCAAAATTTCATTTAAATCGGTCCAATAGATTCGGAGATTAGCCCGTGCAAACAGACAAACAGACAGAGAAACAAAAAATTTGAAAAAAATCTCGACTTGTTCTATTTGTCTTCTTACATCTCCCTGACTCGGTTTTTAGCGTTTTTTTTCTATGTACAGAAATTCAACATCTTCAACATCTACAGTTTTATTATAGTATAGATATTAATAATAATAATACTGTACGAGGATAATTTAATCTTTTAGGTAAATGAGCACTGTCTAAAAGGACATCTTTTTCTAATATAAAATGTAATGATATTAACATAATTTTATTATAGTTTTACATTTTAAAACGTAAATAATCTTTAGTTACACATTAAAAAAGTTCAAATCAGTAATTAGTTCGTTGATATTTGTACTTACTTTGCCAGTCAAAAATTTCTTCAATGTTCTTCAGCTTTGTAGCCCACAATAAGTAAGCAATAGATTCGTCAGGAACTTGCGCGATTTCGAAACATCGCAATGTTGGCACTCCCTTTTGAGTGAACTCCGCCAAATAAGTTCCAAGTTCACTATGAACCTGTAATCAATGCACCACTTATTATTTTCTGCACAAAATATCTTCTGTACTTTGAAAAACAACTTTAAACGTAAATGTAATAAATAATTAGATAATTTCATCTATTTAATTCTCTTTTTAATTTCATAATTAGGTATATGCTGTAACTGAATACCTATATATATCGTAGCCTCATAGCTAGTCTGGCTTTGTACTTTTTACAATGAAGACATTATAAATTTTATTATCAAAAAGCAACGTGTGTTGTTTATAACAACGCACACAGGAGTATTCGACTTCAAAATCCGGTCAAAAGTAAAAAAAAACATGTATTAGACACTCAATTTGCATTGTTTAAATACCTCACTTACCGGGCTAGCGAAAACGGGGCTCAAACAATACCTGCGAACTGCCCGCTCGAGGCGTAGGTAGGCCGAATCTAGTCGATGTTAAATTTTCTCGCGTCTTTAGTTTCAACACGTTCTCATCGGTATCATTACAGATTATGGTTTAAGTGATTTGTGGATTTTATTTCAATGAATGTCGAAGCTCAAGGTATGTATTATAATATTAAAATATATTTGTTATCTTCATGTTTAGTTTATTTTTTAAGATGAAAAGGACGTATACTAAAATATGAATATTTTTGATATTTTTTTCAGAAAAAGGTGTTTTTGTAATAGTTTCGAGTTTGATCGGGTGAATATTTAATTTTTGTAGTTAATTATACACCCTAGACATGCTATTTACGTAGAAATATGTCACCCATCTTGTCACCGTTTTTTTTAACGACAGTTTACATTGTGGAGGTATTTTTTGGACGATTTACTCATTTCCTTAAAAGATTGTTTTTCAAATGTTTAGTAGGTCATTGTAAATGCTTTTTAAAGACAGAAATAATCGAAAACAAATTTCATCAAATTCTTACTACCTCTTTTATATATATATATATGTACCTCTTTTATATATATATATATATATATATATATATATATATAGTCTGGAATGGAAGTCTTTTATACGAAAGTACAAATTGTGAACGAAATCTAAAATGTATGCAAAATATGAACTCAAACGTATGTTTGACAAGTTTGCACTTCGTGCACATTTCAGCTATATACAGGCCGAGCTGAGGTAACAGAATAAGTATAATGTATTAAAACACCGCAATACATTTTGTTCATGTTTTACCGCACTTTTGCCGGTAGAGCTTCGAGCCTTCTGTACTAAATTATACGCCTACTCATCACTTAATCTAAATTATACTTAATGGAATCGATAAGAAAAAAACGTCAAAGTTAATTCTACTTGACTTTATTTTAACCTTTAAAGGTGTTATTGGAGTGAAATTATTCTTTCTCTCAGCCATTATTAATTTCTTAGAGTACAAATACTTGAATTTTCCAATATGACAAGAATGGCGTGATGTTTGCGCTTATTGCAACATATACTTACTATACGAATATAGGACACATACGATTCATATCAATTATCAATATTTCATATTCCTTGTTATAAATTTCATATCTATGTATACTTCAATAAGTAGGTACTATGGATATGAAACAGTCACAATAATGCATACAATCAGTATTAAAATTGTATTTCAATACATATCGAACTCAGATTATTTTAGCAATAATGATGATATAGATATAGTGAATTGAAGTTTGATGATAAAATAGTGTAGAGAAGGTGTTATTATCCGCTCAGATTCATCCCTAGTTATGGTTTAACGTTTAGTATAGGTTTCTCAGAGAGGAGATATTTTTCCGCATTAAAAAGTATCCTATAATATATAGGATACAGAGCCAGCTATCATCATATTAAATTTCATCAAAATTTGTCCAGTGCTTTCTCGTGATGCGGTCACAGACAGAGACAAAAAATCTAAAAACTGTAGATGCGGTCTCTGTAATAATAATTTCAATAAGATTTTCCAAAAAATATTTAATGAATAGATTCGAGTCAGAATTTAATTATATGTATAATATAATAATAGGAGATCGAATAGAAGTAATATTTTATTATTTAAATATCATTTTACTATCGCTATATTTTGGAAGGACACTATACCTACCTAACATAATGTAATCTAAAATTATCCTATTATGTGTATTGGCCTTTTCGTGGCATTTTGCTTATCAAAATGCTTACTTAACCTTTGTAGGAAGTCTTTACGATATTTTATGGAGTTTAAAACAACAGCTAAAATACATTTTAAATTCAAAAATAAAGTAATTATTGGAACAACCGATTTTTTTATTATTATTCTTGTTAATTCAATAAAGTTACACATCATGCCCTACATATGAAGTAGCAACTAGCAAGTAGATATGTTATATCCAAGCAATTTCCATGTTCATTGATTATTATTACCATTATTTTATTATTTGATGCAATTGCATTATTTATTGCTTATTTTAGTGTAGAAACTCATCATCATTTGTTATTTTTTAATTTATTAAGTACAATCACAGAAGCAGCTGAGTAGTTAAGCGTAATAGAAAGACTATTTGAACTCTGTTATTGTAATATTAGTGCATTTTTTTGCAGCACACAGCTTCGCCCGTTTAGACCTTTTTTTTTAACGTTGGAAAATGCATTTACGCACGAGGTGTGGGACTCACCGGCAAAGCCAGTACTACCCACTAAAACCCAACAAAACCTTCTTCGGTCTTAATGGGGAGTCGCAGGATCGCTTACGCATTCAACTACGACGCCCCGACGACAGGTCAGCCGAAGCAGACCACAACAACCATGGGGTTGCTCCAAGGTCCACTCTGCTATCAGAGAAGTACCAGGAGCAACCCGCATGGTACACCGCCCCCCGAAGAGGGCCACCTTCAACCGCCCACCGAAGTGGGCCACCTCCCTGTGCGTTTCTTGGATTCGCGCCCGGTGGATTGCCGGGCATTACTGAGCCCCCCCCCCACCACGGACAAGGTGAACGCACGTTGGAGGGGTCGCCCATTTAGACCTACCGTATCACATGTGATACATCAAAAGTAATAAATTATTCTGAAGCACTTTTTGTTTATGTTTAGTCTACAGGTCAAATGCAAGGTATAAGTAACCCAAATCAAATACTTTCATTGCTATTACCATTTTTGTAAGCTGCATATGTATGTAGTTTTGTCAGTGATTATTTATATTTTTTTCCTAGATGTATTCAAGGTAAACTTTATAATTAAAAATGAAACAATTTACTATTTTGTCTATTTATAGAAAGTTTATGTACCATAGAATATGTACAAATTTCATTTGTTGATTTTTTTTTTAATATTTTTATGTGTTTATTTGACTGATAATGTGGCGCTCAGGGAATACCTCGGGAGGAAGATCATTCCACATCTTGCACGTGCGAGGTAAAAATGATCGAGACGCACGTATATTTGTAGAATGCCAAGCATCTAAAATGTGTGGATGACATCCTACCCGATGGCGAAGGGTGCGATGATAGAAGCGCGACGGTGGCACCATATCAAAAAGTTCATCAGAGCACTCTCCATTGTATAGACGATAGAAAGCACACAGAGAGCCAACATCTTTCCGAAGGCTTAGAGTGTCTAAGTCGTCTGTGAGTACGGGATCGTTGACAATACGAACTGCCCGGCGTTGGATAGAGTCAAATGGAAGAAGCTGGTATTGGGGGGCGCCGGCCCAGAGATGAGAACAGTACTCCATAAGCGGGCGAACCTGTGCTTTATAAAGCAAAAGTCCATGCCCTGACGTGAAATACTGTTTCGCTCTGTTAAAGACACCCATTTTTTTGGAAGCCAATTTGGCTTTTTCTTCCAGATGACATCTAAATTGGACGTCGCTCGATATTTTGACCCCTAGGATCCCGATACTCTTACAGATGTTAAGAGAAGTGTTCTGGAACTTTGGCGCTATAGCGAATGGTTTTTTTTTCGTGGAGAACGCACAAACTTGTGTCTTTGAGGGGTTAAACTGGACGAGATTTCGTCGGCCCCAATCGGAGATCTGCTCTAGGGAAGTCTCGATTTCAGACACAAGTTGGACTCTGTTCTCCTCAACCTTAGCCCGAGAGATGCTAGCTCGGCCAGTATAATAGGCATCGACTGTACTGTCATCTGCATAGCAATGAGCGTTGTTAGTTAACAACATATCGTTGATATGCAGAATAAATAATAAATAATTATTAGTAAGTGGGTATTGTCCAAGTCAATAGACGGAGGATGTACTGGTAAAATGCATCTGACACAAGACATGAACTTATTGCTAATGCTATATCAAGAGAGTTCTCATTCAATGTTAACAAGTTGAAAGAAGAATCACAGTGTTGATGAGGCGATAGTGCCATATTTCGGGCGACATGGTTGTAAACAATTTATACGCGGTAAACTGATAAGATATGGATTCAAACTTTGGTTTGGTGCTACATCAAAAGGCTAAATAAAAATCAGGTTCAAGACGGCCTTCTTCTATGATGCTCGATTCAAGATTGGATAACAAAGGACACTTAGTAATCAAACAGACAACCGGCAAACGCACTCGATGTGGAATATGCCATAAAGTCAGCCCAGCAAGGTGCATCAAGAGCGATGTTGGATTACATATGAAATGTTTTGTGGCATATCATACCAGAAAATAGCGTATAATAATATTTTCTACTATTTTTAGGATTTAACTTTAGGTTTTTCTATTTATATACAGTTAAGTAATATTCACAGTAGTAAAGTATTTAATATTTATGACTCGATTATTCGTTTTTGTTCCCTTATAAGCCTACTGTATCACATACAATACGGCTGATTCCTGGCCCCCCAATATAATAATAGTTTTATAAGTATTTTTTTCATATTTGGAGAGGTCCTATAAATGTGATTAATTCATAATTTTAAGTATTTTTAGAAACTAATAGTTTCAGGTCTAAATGGGACTAAAAAACCTTGGCCATGGCACCTTTATATTTAATTACAATACAATTGTTGGGCCCAACATACGTTCACAATAATATATTCTTTACAGGATAAAACGAAGAAAGGGTGCGTTTA